CCGGCCGAGTGGGGGAGTGGGCAGTGATCAAGACACCTTCACCGCCCGCAAGCCGTCTCGCTCACTCCCAACCGCCCTCCCAACACAGAAGTAGCACCCGAGCCGCAGCGTGTTCAGCGGTAGTCTTTAGATGGGCAGCTAATAGGAACCAACACAGACCCCATGTGCGGAACGCTGAGGTCAGATGCGCCAGGCGCGCTAGATTCGCCAGGCACCCCTGTGACCCAAGCGTGCCAGGCACGCCTGGTGCGCCAGATGCGCCACGTGATCCACGTGCGCCATGTGTGCCGCATGCTCCAGCCGCGCCAGGTGCGCCACATTCGGGGCGCGCGCATAGTGTGCCAGGTGCGCCTGCGCAAGTGGCCGTACACATCGGGAAACGTGTCGGCCCCCACTGCTCTTGTCGAAAACCAGTGCGCATTCGCGGCGGGTGTGGCCATCATAGCGTCTGGTATGACTGCACATAGCAGGCAATATGCCAGCACTCCCGCCGTCTCAGTCCAAAACCAATGCGCAGTGATCGCGGGGGGCCCGCGCATGATCCAGATTTTGCCTCGATGTGAATTTCATATTGTTGTTTGAAAGGGGTTATGGCCCTGCGCACAGCAGGCAATAGGCAGAAAGCGCGCCAGTGGACGACCCTGAATACACAAAAGAGGGGGTGTGCTCGCAGAGCCCACCCCCCCTGCCCTCGAGGGGGGGGTGAGATTTTCGACCCCCCCCTCCCTCCCCCTCTTGGCGCTGGAAAAGGGAGGGGGTTCGAACCACCCCCTCCCCCCCTGTGCGCCGAACAGGGGGCCTACTAGAGGGCCTCTCCCGCAAGGGGGGTCGGGACAGTGAGTAGTGAGTAGAGAGTAGTGAGTAGTGAGTAGTGAATAGTGAGTAGTGAGTGGATAGTAGCGAGTAATGCGGGGTGAGGAGTGAGTAGTGAGTAGCGTGCAGTAAGTAGTGAGTGGTGAGGAGTGAGTAGCTCTCTCCCCGCACCCTCCCCCTCCTCCCCCTCCCCCCCTATAACGCCCGCTATCGCCGCGAATGAAAGAATCTCTCGAGTGGAGGCTCGAGGGGCAAGCTTTTGGACGTCCTTTGACACTGCTTGGGCCTCCGTGGGGGTTCTCGTCACCACGGCTGGATTTCTTTCTCGGAACTCCGGTCAAACCTCCACGCGAGATGGGGGAACGATTTTGTAAGATCACCATCGGGAAAGGGGATCGTGAGGGAAAGGGGCCTCAAGTCTGTCGCCGTCGCAGGACTCAGCTTCTCTCTTGGCCATCAGGCGGGCGATGCTGCTCCCAGAATCCCCGAGTTCCCCCCGACACCCTTCAAAGAGGAGAGGGTGGGTGGCGTGGCGAGGTTCGGAAGGAGTTCGGGACACGCAGATGGGGACTCCTGTGCACGCCTTTTCGGTTGTTGCAAAGACGGCGGAGGGGGGCTCTGGGTAAGAAGGGAGGGGAGGGGGGGAGGGGGGGGGCGGCAGAATGCCACGGCAGTGACCTGGCCTGAAGCTAAGAAGTAAGACGGCCTCAGCACCCCCCGTCAGTATGGACCGAGCATTTACTCAAAATCCTTTATTAATCGTCCCCCAGGTCCAGTTTTTTAAGGCGCCCTTTTTGTACCTGGGGGGTCCGCTTTGTTAGGGCGCTTTCCTTGGATTGGAGCTTAGGGGGTCCCGTTTATTAGGGCGCTCCGTCGAAGAAGGAGGTTCGGAATATCAGGTCGCATTTGGAGGGGGGTCTGGTTTTTTAGGGGGGTCGATTATCAACGGATTTGGAGTACAGGGACCTCCATGAGGCCTTTTTCGCTTCTCCTGCGGTCTCCCGGAGGGGGGGTCCCCCCGCGGCCACGGCCCCATGCAGCGCCCGGCATGGACGGTACCCGCCGCCGCCGCCGCCGATCTCGTCGCCGCCGCCGCCGCCGCCGACGACGACGACGACGTCGACGACGACGACGACGACGACGAGAGGCACGCAAGTGCGGCGGCGCGGCCTGCCCGGCCACTGTGGGGTGCGACGCAGCCCAGGACCCGCGCGCCTCCGCGTCCGTCCCCCGTCCGGCGGCGGCGGCGGCGTCGTGGTCGAGGCCCCTGGGGAGGCGCTCGGAGGAGCTCGTCCTGGAGTCTGAAGCTCCTCCAGGCCCTGAGATCCTGGCGCCGCAATGTGTTCCCACCGGGCGATTCTGTTTCAGGACCCTCACGGATCGATCTGGTTCGAGAAATGATGCCAGAAGATGGCGTCGAGGGCTCCAGTCGAGATGCTTGGCGGCGATGCTGCAATCTTCTGGTGACTTCGGATCTGAGGAGCGCCTCGGGGAACTTGTCCTGATCAGGGGCCCCGGAGCCAAGGGTGTGCGAGTCGTGCACGGCCCTGCCAGATCCGGCGGGCAGAACGACGAGCGGAACGGAGAGTGTTTCGAACCGCGGCTGGAGCTTCCTCGAGCCAACGTCTTGGTGGAGTTGCCAACACGTGCTCTTTCGCGTGGAGGGCCCAGGGTCCAGGCCCCTCGAAAGGAGCCAGAGCCTGCAACGGAACATCCCGTTCCATCGCCCATGCCTCGGCGATGCTGCGCGATCTAGGGTCCGATCTGCCCCGTCCCAGCGTCACAGGTGCATCGGCGATGCGGTGCGGCGCGATCTTCTGGCCCCGTCCCCTGAGATTCGACGTCTCGAAAAAGAGCACCACGCTGGAAAGCTGTTCAACAAACATCGGCCGGAGCCGGATCGATCCGTGAGGGTCTCGGGGCCCGAGGCGAGGCAGAGTTGCCAGTTGAGCGAAGCCAAAAACGGGGTCGTCTTCGTCGACATTGGCGCGTAAGCTGCCCGCGGAAGGTCGCGCGTAAGTGCCCTCGTCTCGAATACAGCGGGCTGCGCCAGCGGTCCGCGCAAGCTGCGGCGAAAGGTCGCTGAGCCATCTCGCGTAGGACCCGTTTTTGATCGTCGCTCAGCTGAGTCTAATCGGAGACTGGAGCACATGATACCAGTGCCCGGCTGTTTTTCAATCTCTGGACTTTTTGAAGGTCGGGGACGACGTCGGGGGTGGTGTGGTGTATATGTTTACCCCCTTTTGCTGGGGAAGCAACGAAACATCCATACACCGGGATCCGATCCGCTTTCCTGTGCGAATTCCAGCGCGGGCCGGAAACAGCGTCGGTGTACAGAACTCGGCTCCTTACATGAACTGCGGCGCCAGGGTCCTCAGGGGCTGCTCTGGGCCCCCTCGCGAGGTCTCCCTGGGGATGCGTTAGGGCAGCCCTCGGGTCGGAGGTGTGGCCTCGAGGCAACACAGACCCAGACCTCCTCAGACTCGAGCCATGGAAACAGCATGACAAGCGGTTTCTCGTCATTGTCCGTCTTCTGAGGGCCCTTGCCGTGCCTCGGAACATTCAAAAACAACGACTCAGGATGAAAGACTGGTCCCAGGGAATGGGTCGAGACCTCTGGGGGTCGACGTTATGAGCAAATCATGGCGTCGGGGGCCTGGGGACTCGGATTACGGCGCGTGGATTCGCGACGGGTCTCGCTGCCATACAGCATCGGCCAGCCCCGCCACCCAAACGGGCGGCACTGGCGCCGTTTCTAGGGGTGCCTTCCCCGATCCATGGATCTGGCGACCGCGCACCAGATCTGCGTGCCCCTAGTCCATGTTAGCTCGGGTATAGCCAGGACCCCGGGTAAGGGGACCCGGTTAGTGGTAGGGCCCTGGGGCCCCTTGGCCAGATTCACTAAACCAGGTTTGCCGTGACCGGTGTTTTTTCGGGTGACGGCAGTTCCGGTTAGTGGAAATCGGACGGGGGGGTGCCCCCAGTACAGATCACTAAACCAGGTTCCACTAAACCCAGTTTTATTAACGCCCGATTAGCGTCCGTACGACTGTCTCGGGACGATGGAAATTGGTACCAAACGTATGTACAAAAACCGGCAGCAGTCACTGTTCATTCTGAGCAGAACTCGCTGTCGGCGTCGCCGTGGTCGTTACCCATTTGGAACACGAGCTCGCCTGCCCAACAGCGGCCGCTGTCGGTTTTCGGGAACATTTGTTGTTGGACACCGTGCCCGTACCCATTTCGGGAGTCAAAATTATCGGGGGCGTCTGGGAGGGGGTGATGGCTAGGGGAAGGGTGGATCTCATGGCGGGGGCCATGACATCTCCCTGGATGTCGTGACCCCCGCTTTTCATTTCTCCACACGTCCCTTGGTCTCCCCCCCTCGTCTGCGCACATGCATCGGGTCCTGATGCTCACCCGAATCTGGAAGATTGGTTCCCGTCAGTGGGACAACCTTGAGGCGCGCCCGGGTGGAGAAATCTTCGTACTCGAGCTACCGAAGCGAGCAGCAACCTGCGCCTGCTCCCGCCCAACTTGCAGTACCTGAAGCGGGCCGGCACCGGGAGGGAGGAGGAGGTGGAGGAGGAGAGGGAGACAGGAGGCTTGACCACCTGATGATCGTATCCCAGGGGCACGAGGGTCGTCCAAAACCGTCCTATGAGGCTCGCCTTGTTGTTAAACCTCTTCACATATTGCAGAGGCCTTCTGGCTTGTGGCTGGTTCTACCGACCCTGAACATGGGCCCTCGTGGGCCCAGCGCCCAACGTTGGTCCCAGTTGGCCACAGGTTGGCCAGACGCTGCTCCGATATGGCCCCGGTGGGCGCTGCCTCTCTAAGGGTACAGCGAAGACCAAGCGACAACGAAAAAACACTGCTCAGGTCGGGCCCTCGACTGGAACGGAGGCAGGATCTGCCCGCCCAGGCCCGCGCTTGCAGCAGGCAGCAACAGACCCACGGCAGCATCACCGGAGCCTCACGATCGCTCCCCGCCCTGCTCCCTCGGAGGCCAGCAGCGTGTGCAGATCGAGCCCTTGGGGAGCTCTGTCGCATCCGCCCAGACTCGAGCCCCCGGGGCGCGGGGCGCGCCCACCCCGCCTGGTGCGCCGCCGGGTCCGCCGCGCGGGGGGGCCGCCATGTTCTCGAGCGCGGGCTCCAGCGCGGCGGGCTTTGGCGGCGGTGGCCCGATGGAGAGCACCACGAGGCCCGGAGGAGGAGAAAGGCGCCGATCTCGCCAGCCTTGCCCGGTGGCCGCGACCGCTTGCAAGCCCTTACCCCCGCGGGGGTCCAGTCGTCGCTGGGGTATCGGACCCCCCAGCTTCTGACCCCCAGCCAGGTTTTTTTTCTTCTTTTTTTATAAATCTGACCTGCAGGGTAAGGTTCACATGTGGTTGCCTATCGGTTTCGCCTTCTCGGGGCTTCGCACCCTGGGCGAGGTGCGAGGAGTGCAGTCGAGTTGGACGAGTAGATCGACCCTACCAGAGTGTACCCTGTGTGTCCTCTGTTTCGCTGCCCATGCCCTCTACATTCATATGGCAATGTGGCCCTCGGAGGGAGTTTGTGTCCTTTCGCGTGCCCTCTCCAGTCAAGCTCGACTGTAGCGGTATTGGTACCTTGCTTGGAGTTCCCCGAGAGGTTGGCGCCCGGCCGCGGGGATGGGTGCTGCGACCAGGAGAGCCGGTGTTGGGGGGCGTCCAGGAGTGGGGGTAAGGACCAGGAGGGTGGTGGTGGATTTCTTGGTCAGGGCCATGATGTCTCCCCAGATTTGATGGCCTCCGTCTTCTTCTTCTTCTTCTTCTTCTTCTTCTTCTTTGATAACGTCCCTTGAGCTCCCCTGGGCCGCTCACGTGCCTCGGGCCACGATTCGCTATCCCGCCTCTTCGGCGCCCCTCCTGGTTGGACGCCCCCGGAGGACAGCCGATGGGGCGGGACAAGGGGCATGTGCTTCAGGCCAGAGGCCGTAGAGCCGAATTGGTCGCACGTGGGCGCCGGCAACGGTGGCTACGAGAAGGCACCGGGCGTCTCGCAATGGGGTTCGGGCCACGGTGGCGATCCAGGGTTGCAGGACGAGGGCCCTAAAGGGGCCGCCTGGGGTAGCGACGATGCACGAGAGGTGCATCTTTCTCCCCCCCCGTCCAGTGCCCCCCATCAAGGTAGACGAAAAGGACGAAAAGCGGCATAAGCACACAGCCAACCCTCACAGGAAGGATGCGCAATTTTCCAAGGTTGCCCTTTCATCCTTTCCCTTCGGCCCATCATTGGCCGCTTTCGCTGGCCGCGCCCCGCTCGCAAAGTGTCGACATGGCCTTCCCGGGCTCCTGCATCCTCACCGCGAATCCTTTTAACTGTAATCCTTCTGAGCTTCGCGCGGGTTTCTCGCATCGGCGCTGGGTCCCCTGATGGCGCCTCGGCGCCGCCCCTGGCGCGCTCCGCGCGCCAGGGAGAGGGTGTCCAGTGCCGATCCGAGAAAGCGTGAGAGAGCCGTGCGCACCTCCGGAGGTTGTTGGGCTCATGCAGCCCTTGCTCTTCTTTCGGGGGAACGCAAGACTCGAGCAAGCCGGAGCTCGGGTTCGCCGACGTCTTTTGACGAGCGCGTCCTGGATTTTGACGGTCCAGTTTTCGTGGGACGGTTGCAGCGGGAACTCGCGTCCAATTTCAGACGGGGTCTCGTCATTTCCATGATGGCCCCGTCGGGCCAACCCGAGTCCCCCGCACCAGAGCCTTACGTCCCCCCCCCATTCTTCGAGGTAGAGACATACAACTACGTCGGCGAGGGCGCCGGCTCCTACGCCAAGGACGCCTTGGGCCAGCACGTCGTCTACGGGTGGCGGCTGCGGAGCTGCTGCCTCTTCCTCCTGTGCAGCGCCGTGCTGCTGGCGCTCTGCGTGGTCCTCGCCCCCTGGCTCGAGGCCCTCTGGACAGACGTGCTGCCGGGCCTGCTGCCAGGCGCAGGGGTCCGTGGCTCAAGTCTGGGCGTGTCCCTTCTGCAGGAGGAATATCAGTATCCCAGGATAGTCCAGAAGTAGTCTGGGGACGATGTTTAGACCGTCTCTGACTATTTTGAAGCTTTTGTTGATACTATATCTTATGTTTCCTCCAAAATCCCCCTGCACGGGGGCATGCCCGACCTCATGCCAGGAGCAGGGCCAGAAGGCGACGGCATCATCAATCCCGCCGCGGGCCAGAGCGGCAGCCTCACGGGGAACGCCACGCAGGGCCTCCAGGATCGGCGGCTCACCAACATACTAATCTTATGTGTTCGTCGCCTCCCCCCCAGGGGGCGACGTGCGCACCGGGAAATCTTCCAGTAGATTCGTCGCGGCGGGCGTTTTATGGCCGTACCGCTCGAGAAACGACATACTACAAGATGGGTATACTATTTGTTCCGGTCGGACGCGCGCCTCCAAGGAAAACACATAGCACCAGTATGTTTTTGTGCGTCCCACAGGACGGCGTCGGAGGTGGCAGCACGGGTGTCTGCACCGCTGCCGGGAAGGACTGCAGCAGCACAAAGTGCTGCATCAACCAGTCGATGAGGTGCTTCGAGAAGAACCAGCACTGGGCGGGATGCAGGGCGTCGTGCAGCCCAGGCATATTCCTGGAGGACCCGCCGCAGCACAGGACCCGCTGGAACTGCCTGCTTGTCGACAGCAAAGGCGCTCAGGGCCTCCTCGATGGCCCTGGCAGCACGGCCACCTTGCCCGCGACCGCTCCGTCATCGACTCCGTCGCCTTTCGAGCCGTGGCCGAAGGTTCGAAGACCAGATAAAGAATAAGCATAAGCTGTCCGATCTCCGCACGGATCTCTTGGATCGGCGCTGGGCCCCCTCTGTGGCGCGCGGAGCGCGCCAGGGGCGGCGCTGGAGGCGCCGCCAGGAGGCCCAGCGCCGATCCATGAAAGCCGCGCGGAGTTCTGATAGTTTCTGCTTGTGCAGATGTCAATATTCCCTACCTAGGCTCTGCCTAGAAGGGTTCTTACCGTCTAGCTTAAAGGTGCTGGGCAGTGGAGCCCGCCCCGGGCGGTTCCCCCGGCATCCGCCGCGCGGTTCCCCCAGTTACGTCCCTTTAGCTTAGCATTGCTTATCTCATCTTAGCTTAGCTTATTTCATCTTAGCTTAGCTTAGCTTCATCTGAGCTCAGGTTTATCTTAGCTTAGCTTACCTTAGCCGCCAGTTTAGTTTTCTGTTCGGGTAATTCGCATGGGTGTAATTCCCTACCTGGGCTCTGCCTAGAGGGTTAGCTTAGCTTAGCTTAGCTTAGCTTAGCTTAACATAGCGCAGCGCTGCATTAGCATAGCATCGCATAGCATAGCATAGCATATCATAACATAGCCAAGCATAGCATAGCATAGCATAGCATAGCATATCGCAACATAGCATAGCATGCCATAGCATATCATAGTATAGCATAGCGCAGCTTAGCATATCATATCACATCATAGCATATCATAGCTTAGCATAATACAGCGCATAATTACACAGCATAGCATAGCATAGCATAGCATAGCATGGCATGGCATAGCATAGCGCAGCATAGCATGGCATGGCATGGCATAGCATAGCATAGCAACTAATGCTGCTTTCCTAGGGGCTCCAACTTCTAGGTAGGGTCGCACTGGGGTAATTCCTCTTAAGGTGCTCGCGGAGGGCGATGACTGCCTCCTCGACGGCAGCGCCGGCACGTGCGCCGCGGGGCTGACGTGCAGTCCCGGGCTGGGGAACCCGACGTGTATGAGGGATATGATTGCCTCGACTCCAGCGAGCGAGGCTGCCCCCGATGCTCCGGTGGAGACCGCCACTACTCCCGACAAGGTGCTCGGACGACGACGAGCCCCAAAAAGGCACGGATGCCACTGCCGTTCCCTCGTTTTCGCTTTTGGGGGCCTCTTGGGCGGCCCTCGTCGCCACGACTGGAGTCGCTTCGAGTTTCTGGCCCGAGCGCATCCAGGAGAGGCCCCCGGCAGTAAGGGGGTGTGAGTGCTTCTTTTTTTAAAAGGTGACCACGAAGACGACCGAGGACGTCACAGTAGGGGAGAAGACGCTGATGTTGGAACAGACGATTGGCATTGTCGTCGGGAGCACTGTCACCATCAGCAGCGCTGGGGTTTCAGAAAGCGGGACTATTGCTGGACTGGAAGACGGAGTGATTACTCTCGAGAACCCTTGGGCTAATTCTTACCCGTCCGGCTCTGACATCGTCATTGTGCAGCAGGAGGACGACGCCGTGGATGATGATTCTGGCATCGAGCCTGGCTTCCAGAAGTCCAATCACTTCACCACGGTGAGGGGCGCGATCCCAGCAGGGGTGACCGAGCTCCCAGTCTTGACGTACAGGGGGTTCGCCGTCGGCGACAGCATCCTCATTGAAAACCTCGGCGCGCCCCCTGGCGAGCAGAAGGAGATCACCGCCGTGAGCAAAACGGCGGATGAACCCAAGCTCGTTGTTCGCACGCCCACCGGGCAGGCCTACGCTGGAGAGGCGAGAGTCACGCTGCTGGGGTCGCAGGCGATGCCGGAGCTCGCACAAGACAGGGCGATGGCATTCGAAGATGGGCTCGACCTCCCAACGTCCCCCACTGAGGACGCCGAGGCGGGCATGATGCCGATGGCGATGGCATTCGAAGATGGGCTCGACGCTCCCGCGTCCCCCAAGGAGGACACTGAGGCGATGCCGACGGCGCCAGCGACGCGAGCAGGGAAAGGAAGACGCCACGGTGAGCTTCCGAAAGACAGCCCTGAAGACTTCCCGGAGCCACCGGATGACGGAAAGAAGTTCGACTGCGCGCAGGGCTTCGAGAATTGGGACGCGGGCTGGGCCGACGACAAGAAGTACTACTGTTGCAAGTACTACGGCCGTGGATGCCCCCCCGTAGAAACTACGACGCCCAAGCACGACTGCGCGGCCGACTTCGAAGACTGGGAGACCAAGTGGAACAGCGACAAGCAGTACTATTGCTGCAAGTATTATGGCCGTGCCTGCCCGGACGCACCATCCGTCTGCGACACAAAGTGCGAGCACCAGGGCGCCACCCTGACCTGCAGCGAGCGCGTCCAGTACGCCGCCACGCACCAGTTCCGCGGTCAGCCCGAGGCCTGCCCCCAGGCCCACGAGCAGGTGCTCGAGGAGTGCCGTGTCTGCGAGGAGTGCCCCCTGGAGGAGACGGGCTGCGAGAAAAAGCAGGGCGAGTTCCCCTACGACTGCGACCGGGACTTCGAGACGTGGCAGGAGTCCTGGTCTCCCGGCGAGCAGCGATGGTGCTGCGACAACTTTGGAAAAGGGTGCCCAGGCCCCACATCCGCCGAGCATCTGCCAGCGTGCGCCACAGACTGCGTCCACGACGACGGCACCACGAAGACGTGCGGCGAGTGGATCCAGGCCGTGGCCGCCGAGGACTTCCAGGGCCGTGCGGGGTCGTGCGAGAGCGCCCTCGACCAGGTCCTGAAGGACTGCCCGGTGTGCACCGTCTGCAGCCTCGAGGCGTCGGGGTGCGCGGACGCCCCGCTGGGCGGCGGCGGGCCGCCCGCCCCGCCCGACGGCGCCGCGGCCGAGGCTGCGCCAGGCTCGCCCGCCGTGCCCGACGCCGAAGCCGAGGCCGCGCTGGGCCAGGGCGTCGCCTCGGAGGCCTGAGCCGCTGGCCTGCCGAGCTGCCAGAGGCGGGGGAGGCGCGGGCCCGACGAGAGGGGCTTCCTTCCCGCCGCGTGGCGCCTTACCTCAGCACTGGCGCGCCGGGAGGCGCGAGGAAAGCCGGCTGCGTGAACTGATCCGCCAACCCTCCCTTCGCTACCCCCCCTCCCTGCTGAGATCCAAGGTCACGAACAAAGATTCAGCATCACAACGAATAACACCCGACCAGAGCCGGATCGATCCGTAAGGGTCCCAGGGCCCGAAAGGAGGCAAAGCGTCGCCCGCTCGGAGCAGATGGCGACGCCAGGACCTCAGGGCTTCTCCTCCGACCCGAGAGGCCTGGTGCCGTCAGGACCTCCGCAGACCCCCGACATCATGGTTTCGTCATGCTGTGGACCTCCCGGCGTGCTTCGACGGTCCAGAGGCCCACGGAGGGCCCCCAGGGGCCGAAGGCTGGCGAAGGCCCCCCGCTGTGCTTTTGTTTTTTCACAGCGCGAGGGGGGCTTGTCGGCCACGCGCAGAGGGGGGGCTACAGTCGGCATTGAAGAGCAGGTCGATCCTGCCAGAGCAAGGGAGGGAGGGAGGGGGGCGCTCCGGGGCCGCAGGCTGGCACCGTGAGCGGCTCTGGGCCGGGCGGGAGCGCCGCCGCTGTCGGCGGGCCTCCCGCGGGCCCTCGGCGGGCCCCGCTGGCGGGCTCCTCGGCGGGCCCCGCCGGCGGGCCTCTTGAAGGCCCAGGGCTGTCCCGCGTCTCGCGGCCCGTGCCTCCTGCATTCCTGTGGCAGTGTGGCGCTCGGAAGGGTCTCGTGTCCTCTCGCGTGTCCTGTCCAGTCGAGTCCGACTGTAGGGGGGAGGGGAAAAGGCTTCTCAGAAGCACCCAGGCTTCCTCGAAGGGGCGGGCCTTCTCTGTAGATGGAAGGCCCGCCCCCTCTATAAGAAGCAGCCTCCGTCTAAGAGGCCTTCCCCCCCTCCCCCTATACCCCCGTCTGCGCGCCGCCCAAAACAATCACAGCGGCCGGTCTGTGGCTCCTTTCGGCCTCGCGGGGGTCCTCGGCGGGCTCCTTTCAGAAAAAAAACATCGCAGGGGGACAAAAGGCCAGCCCCAGGGAGGAGCTGTGCAGACAGACCTCCGGGGGTCCACGCACGGAGAAACAACGGGAGCGCCGGGTGTCTGGGGCTGGCGCCCTTCCTCTCACAGCCCTGGCATCCCCTGCAATCTGGGCGTTACAATGCTTTTACACTGGGCGTCTTCGCCCAGTGTCAAGCCCCTGGACCATCGGACCTCAGGGCCCTCTCGCCTTGAAAAAACACCGACGCAGAGTTCTGTAAATCTCTGGCCCCCGGGGGCTGCTCGCACCAGGCCCAGGGGCCGTGGAAAAATGACCCAGGATGAGACACCGTTGGGGAGGCGCGCTGCGAAAAAAACACGACGTCGGATGTCTGGGAGATGCGGAGGTTTGCCCATGACCACCGCCTGGGGGATCGACCTGTGGGGATCTCGGCGGGCGATGGACATGGAAATATTCGGGCACTGGGGGCGGCCGAGGATCTCGAAGAGGTTCTCGAAGATCGATCCACCAGGCGGTGTTTCTGAATCCCCGCATCGCATCCTTCTTCTCCCCTCCTCCTCCTCTCCCTCTGCTCGCCCGTCCACCTTTGCAGGACGGCCCTCCCTTCGTGCATCCTGGCGGCAAATCAGGCCTTCCAGACGTTGTTCCGAGTGCTTCCGCTTTAAGAGGCGCGCAAAGCGCACCCTTGCGTGATTGCCCCCATCGACGGTGGGAAGTTGTTTGTGTAGACTGGCTGACAGACAGGCTCGGTGCTTCGGCTATTGTAATTCGTTTTTTCGCGCTGTGCTATTCAACAGCCTTCGGTGGACGTGGCGTTGAGACCAATGGTGTCCGTACGCGTCAAGCCAAAGTCCAACTTACGCGCTCGGGCTCAGATTGGGACATTCTTGGGCTGGCTTGAGGATCATCTCTTTGGCCATATTCGGGCCTCCCTGGATCGTCTTGAGCCCTCGTATCCCTCCTCCGTCCTGATCTTCCGCCTTTCCCTTCTCCCTCCCCTCTCTACCTCTCTCCCTCATTATCCCCTCGCGACTGTCCAGTGTCTTCGGACTTTGAAGAAGCCCCCACCACGCCGAGTCGATCAGCGAATTGCCCCTGTTCGGTTCTTGGGATGGTGTTGCAGCACGTCTGTTCGTGGGTCGTTTCCACGAACGCAAGGGCTCCCACGAGGGCGCGAAGTTATTCGCGGTTCGCGCTTCGCGGTCCTCGTTCCTTCTCCCCCTCCTCCTCGTCCTCCTTTTCTCCCTTTGGGGGGGCGGCGCGAGAGCGCGAAGTTATTCGCGCTTCGCGCTTCGCGCAGCGCGAAGCGCGAAGTTGGGAGCCCTTGGAACGGGTGCTTTGCTAAAAGGGGTTCTGCCAAAGGGGACGCTCTGGCCGGAGCTTCAAGGCGGCGAGAAGCTTCCCGGAGGTACACGAAGCGCCCTGAAGAGGAAGTCATCGAAGTTCGAACCGCCGACGGCGACGAAGACGACGGTCACGGCGACGACGACGACGACGGCGACGACGATGACGATGACGGCGGCGGCGGCACCTGGGAGGGCGCCGCGCCGTGCCGAGCGGCAGTGGTCCTCTGGCTGCTGCTCTCGAGCCAGAGCGGGGTCTCTCTGGAAGGCAGCTCAATGCTGATGCTCTGGGTCTCCCAGGTGGGGTCGGTGTAGACGGGGTCGAAGGATCGCGCCGCATCGCCGATGCATCGCCGATGCATCGGCGATGCGGCTCGATGTGGAACCCGATATTCTCCACGTTAACGTCTCCGATGCATCGGCGATGCATCGCCGATGCATCGGCGATGCGGTGCAATCCTCCGAGCCCAGCTACTCGGACGCACCCAGGAGGCTTCCAGATGCCCTTACTCCCCTCGGACTGCGACGGCTCACCGATGGCGTGGCGCGGGTCGTCCTTCCCCAGGACCTATCATTCCGATCGGGTCGATGCGGCTCGGTTTTGGGCCGAGAGTCCCAAGGGGGGGTGCTTCTCCTTTCTTTTCCTCCTCCTCCTCCTTCCTCCTCCTCCTTCCTCCTCCTCCTCCTTCCTCCTCCTCCTCCTCCTTCTCGACCTCGAGGTCGGCCTCCGAGTTCGCCGGGCTCGGCCCGATTCGCTTCTGACTTCCCTGCGGTCGGATGTTCGCATGGCGCCGTGGTGCATCCCGGTACGGCCAGCCCGATTCGAGTCCGGCTCTCCGTGCCGGTGTGACCCGACCCGGCGCGCCTCTCTCGACTCGATCGGGTGTTTCCCGTCTCGCTGCTGCTTGACCTTCCCAGGGTGGGGATATGTCCATAGCCGCCGCCAAGGGAGCGGGTCTTCGGGGACCACGGCTCGCGGCGGATGCGGGTACAGTGCCGTTTTGAATACATGCTCCGCGTGCGGATCATGTATAACACATGCAGGGATTTAGTATTAAAACGGCGAGGAGTTCATGCATACATTTATTCATGACTTAACCATGTATTAAAAATCCGATACATGTTTAAGAATCCTATGTATGAAGAGCTGCCCTATCCATGGTCGGGCCCTGGTGGGGGCCACGCACCTCCAGAGCCACCGCCTGCCGAGAGCCCCGAAGATGCTCCCCCAGGCGGCGGCTCCGCCTCGCCATCCCGGGATGGCGTGGCGCGGTCGCCCTCCTCGTCCGCCTCCCGTCTCCTTCGCTTCGGCCGCATGCTCCCACGCCTGCCCCGAGAGAGTCAGGACGTGGTCCTGCTGCTGCAGGGCAGCGACGGCGCCAACCTCTCCGCCCAGCTCGACCTCGCGAGCTTCCTGCTGGCCAACTCCAGCGAGCAGGCCTCGACCAGACGCCCCTCATGACGCGAAGCTGCCACAGTTTGTGCGATGTCGTGATACCCTGAGGTCCTGGCGCCGCGTTGTTTCGGGCACCAGGACCAAGATGGGCACTGAGACGGTGCTCTCAGCGGCCCGATGAGGGCCACAAAGAGGTCTGGAGGCCACTGAGGGCTCCGGATGCTATCCGTGAAGCGAGTGCACCGAGAGAATGTTTTGGGGGCCGCGGCCCATTCACGTTGTGCTCGTGAGCGGGTTGCCCGCGCTGCAGGTCCCTTTGTGGCCACTCCCCTCTCCCGCCCTCCGCGGCCACTTCGACTCTCAAGGGGCTTGCAGCGGGCTGCGCGAGGGCGGCGCGCTGGTGGAGCGCCCTGCGGCCATGGCTGGACTGGCTGGGCCCACGGGGCTCTTCTGGCTTCCCCACGCGGCGCGAGTGTGGGCCCCGTGCAGGCTCCAGAGCGTCGACGGTGACGTTGCTTCGCTCGCTGCCGACGACGGCGAGGTCATACGCCACCCTGCTCAGGACCTGCCTGCGCTGGAGCACGTGCACGATCAGCAGCTGGACGGCGTGGACGACGTGTGCAGCCTCGGGGCCGTCAGCGAGGCAGCGCTGCTGCACACGGTGCGGACACGCTACAGTCGGCAGCTCATGTACACGCGGGTCTCCCGGATCCTCATCGCGGTGAACCCGTTCTGCCCCCAGGACATTTGAAAGCCTTCGGCCATTGCCGCCAGCCCCTCTGCCCTAGGCACCGATGTATCTCGCGTCGCCCTCGCCGCCCTCATCCTCCTACTCGACATTTTCCTCGTCCTCCTGGCCGCCTACGGGGCATCCCTCCCTCAGGCGGCCAGGAGGCGGAGTCGCCATCCAGAAGCACCACTCTGGTCAACGCTGTGGAATCGGGTGCTGTCACCACCACGTCAGTATCGGTCAATGCCACGGCACCCACCTCGGCGAACTCGTGCACTATAGCGTTCTCCAGCACTGCGGAAGCGAACGCTGCTACAGTGATCTTCTCGACTGAGTCGGGTACCACGTCGGTTGTCGGCAGTCTGGAGGCGAGCATTACCACAACACCCACCAAGACGGACCCGAGCACCAGATCGCTATCTTGACTTGCGGAAGCGAGTGCGTCCACGGTGAATCTCACGACAGCGTAGATCACCACGTCGACATCCAGCATCATGACAGTGCTTGCTTCCACGGAATCCACCGCGGACGTGCAGCTCCACGCTCAGCCGTTCCAGCTCCTCAGGCGGCGCCGTGCACATAGCAAGACGGATGCCAGCGCCACGATGTGTACGGTACACGGCGGGTTGCTGCATTACGACGTGGGGGTGCAGCACGACAGGCTCCTGCAGTCCGATGCTGTACTGTGGGGGGCCATGCCAAGAAACACCCTGCTTGCCTCCAGGGTACCCTGGTTTTCTTGGGTTTCAGTGGTTTTGCTATGGAAGGCGTGACGTTCCCACACCAAGAATCAGTGGACGCGCTGGGGTCTCAGGGCTGACTTTCGTGTGGAAGGTTTCTGGTGGACTTGCCTCCACTGCAGCGCCACAGTTTCGACAGGTTGGAACAGCCCGTCGCTGAGCGGCAAGACGAATTGCAACACTCGCGACCACGGCATCCGCACCCACTCGGCCCTTGCCAGCGGCGCTCGGCAGCACCTCGTTGGAGCAGTGCGGCGGGTCGCAGGAATGCGACGCGGAGCAGCACGGGAGGATCCAGTAGCCGACGCAGCGCAGCACGACTCTGAAGAGCATGCAGTATCGTTCAACCGATCCATATCCCCATCCCCATCCCCATCTCAAGCCCCACCATCACACCACCCCAGTTGGGGATATACCCATCGAAACCCATGGGGAGTATCATCTATCCCCATCCAGGGGGGTAAATAGGCCAGTGGGGCCTCGGTTAAATGATGAGCATCGGTTAAATGATGCTAGTAGGCATCAGTTAAATGATGCTCAAGCATGGCGGATTGCAGCAGTACGTCGCTGCACAGCGAAGCCGGACGATAGGAGCATCTGTATTTGGGCGGTTGGAGGCCGGGATGCTCGACGCTGCGCGATAGTGTCGCACCTCTTGCAGAGTCGTGCGCATGGGGGGCACGATTCGTCTTTAGATTGCAAAAGGGGCAGCTGTGGGTATATGATCTGGCACAAAGTTAATCGGTACTGCATCCTTCTGAAGGGGTGTGCGATCTCCCACTTTTCTCGTGCATGCTCGGCGTTCGATGGTATCTGACCTTGCGTGTCTAGCAGGCCTCCTCGCTTCCGTTGTCACCCGACCCCGCCCCTGCGCAAAGGCAGCAGGCTTGGCTGGCTGCCGCCCCTAGGGATCCGAATGGTGGTCAGTGACGCCTGGCTGGCGTGCCATTCTGCGCCGCACTTGGCCGACCTTTTCTCTGTCCTCCTCTCTTCTTGCCTTGCTTCGCACAGTTCGGTCTCAGTCCACTGGTGGCTCTAGTGCCCGACACATTACATCGTGTAACGTGTGGTTTGCAAGCAGCGACCGTTTCGGCCCAGGGGTGTATAAATTTGTGGCTGGCAGTTGTGATCCACTCTCTTTCCTCATTCTTCCTTTCTGATTGTGGCTGTGTTCACGCGAGCTGCTTTTCAACATGGCCTCACCAGCGCTTCGCGGCCAACTGGTGTACCGCTTCGTGGCGCTGGCTATAATCGAACAACGGGCCGCTGGAGGGGGCGTCCCCTCTCTCAGTGAGCCCTCTTCGATTCCTTGGGCCTCCATTGGGTTTAGGGTCGGAGCTTTTGCTTAGCGTATCCTCCGCTGGTTCTGGCTCGCCACGCTTCGGCGAGACACGCCAACCACGTCCTGGTCCCCAGGCGTAACCTTCCCGAGCCTTCAGAAGCCTTCCGCCCCTTGGAGCGGAGAAACGCGTTATCCGCTTGCAGGGCAGATTGTGTCTCCGGATCCGTCGCCGCGGCACGCTGAGCAGCAGTTCCCGACCCTATCTTGGGCCCTCTCTGGTAAGTTCATAGGTCTTCTCTGTTTTTCTTTGGAGCCTGCTGGAGGCTTCTGGAGTCCCCTCGTGGTTCTCTTGGAGGAATACATGGCTGGCTCTCTCGCAGGACAGGTCACGCACACGTCACTTCGGGCCATTTGGGACAAAGCGCCCTAGAAGCGTAGAGCCCTCACAATTTGAAAGGGATCGTGTACCTGGTAGCGTGGGCCCAGCTTGATTTACAGGGGATCATGGCCCTGCGAGCGCAAATCCCGCGCCATATACGAGGGATCGTGGCAAGGGGAGCGCGGATCCAGCACAATCTGCCAGTGGTTGTGGCCCTCAGAATGAGCAGAGCCAACGTCATGTCGTAGGCATCGTGGCCCTGCGCAGATCCAGCGTAATCTTCAAGGGATCGCAGGCCTGGGAGCGCGGGCCCAGTTTTAATTTGCAAGCCTGGGAGGCGCGGATCGAGCCCAATTGTGCTGGAGACCGTGGCCCTGGACGCGTGGATCCAGTGCGATGTGCTAAGAATCGTCGTGCCCCCTGGGAGCACGGATCCAGAAGATCACTTCTGACGGGCTGTTGCCCTACGGGCGATGCCATCCACTGCCATTCGTGCACCGGCGCGCTCGTAGCGCTGCGTGCGCGGAGCGGGCGTCCTGCACGAGGGGCCGGGGCCCGGGGAGCACGGGCCCAGCGCGACACACAAGTCGGGGCTGGACAGACCTCCTGCCCGGACGCGTCGATGAAGGGATTGGCCGTTCTCGCTCCGCGAGAGGGCATCGCGGCCGTCCTTTTGGCGCGTCCAGGTCCGTCGATTTCGGTCCCAGGCCGTTTTCACTGAGGGGAGGTTTGCTAAAGGGAGGTTTGTCCACCGCCGAACAAGGGAGCGCAGGTCCAGCGTATGTGGGATCCTTCCAAGGGTCACTCCCCAGGTCAGGTTCTTGATGGGTTCCTTCTCGGCCAGGCGCGAGGATCCGGTCTACGGAAGTGTCTCCCTGACGCCGGGATCCGGCTTATCAGGGCTGCTTCGCGCAAGTGTCTTCACGCCGGAGCTATGGACGCATCAGTCATGAAGCTCGTGCTCGTGACCATCTTCCTTAGCGCAGTAACCAACAACATCAGATTGAACATGCCCAGAACTGGTGTCAAATTGTGGCCCCTGGGGCCGGCGGACCTTTCTGAGAGTTTGGATCGCTTCTGGGAGCTCTCTGGGCCTCCCGGGTGCCTCATCGGCGGCCCCAGAGGACGCTCAGGGGCCGCTAAGACGGCTCCAAGACCGCCCAAAATGGCCGCCAGAGGGCCCAAGCGGCCTTCAAGACGGCTCCAAGAAGGTCCCCAGAGGCCCTCCAGGAATTTCCCGCGGGCAGACGTTGTCAAAAGGCCGCTTCCCCCCTCTTGCCCCCGCCGCTCCATTTTACTCCCCTTACTCCTTCTCATCCTCAGGTCCGCCTCCTCCTCCTCCGCTTCCTCTTCCTGATCCTCCTGATCTGGACTCCTCTCGTACGCTCGTCTCCTCCTCCTCCTCCTCCTCCTCCTCCTCCTCCTCCTCCTCCCCCCCTTCCTCCTCCCATGGTTGTTACCGCCCTAATCCGCCCCCCTCCTCATCATCATATGTGTGAGCACCTTTACTATCTCTTTCACGCTCTCACTTTCACATGCATGCAATGGTTCAAACGAAAACAAGATGCCCAGAGACCCTGCCGATACTGCCTAATACCGATTCTGTCCCACCCATGGCCGCACGTCCTGCGCCAAATCCCTGCATCATTCACCTACCATCTGCAGGCTAGAGACTAAGCTCGCGCGAAGTGCGCGCGTGGTTCTAGTAACTAGTTTCATAGTCTGCTCCATCACAGTTGTCGTTAAAAGGGATATCGCAGTCGACTATTGTCACCTTCATCCAATTGTTGCGCAGTACCGCTTCTCTCGCGTGCAATGCCTACCGTAAGTACAAGTCTTACCGCATTGACTAGACTACCGTAGCGGCGGTGTTGATGATTATGTTCATCATGATGTTGGTGATGGCGATCTCGGTGGTAATCACGTTATCCGCGCCCCCAGCGCGAACACCAATTCCTTTAAGTGCACTTCAGTTATTGTTGAAGCCCGTCTTCATGGTTGCTTTGTTCTTTCGGAAAGTTGCCGCCTTGGAGTTGTTGCATACCTTGTTCGCCACACCGCCTGTGGCCATCGCACAAATCAACGTGAGCGCCGTCGTTACGCCCAGAAGAATTGACGAGGGATCGTGGCCCTGAAAGCACAGATCCAGCGTACTATACGATAGACCACGGCACTGAGGACCTTGGGGGAAGCAATCTTGAGACCCCTCACAAGTGAAGGCGATCGGGTGCTTTGGGGTGCCAGGTGGGGTAGACTTACAGAGGGATGCATGACACACTACTACCTCCTATGAGTAATGAAGCAACACCAAGCCAACCTCCTTCAGTACTTCACAATGTTCAGTGCACTTTTCTGTCCTCTCCACTACCACACTGAAGCCAATGCAACGTGACTGCTCGCAGCCTGAAGGCACCACAGGGAGGGTGCTAGCAGATCTACACCTCGGAACACTTGTGTCGCTACGCCGCCGCGGCGGACTCCTTGGACCTGCCGCCGCACATATTCAGGAGGTTTACGTTATCCCGCCGACCCCCGCAGGGAAGACAGGGGGATTTGTCTGGCATGTTGTGGTATGTGTGGGTCTTGTTGTCTTGCTTCAGTTGAGGGGTACAAGAAGATAAGGGACGATGTGGAGGCGAAGAAGGGCCATGTGACATGATGATGAGGAGGAGGAGGAGGAGGAGGACGGTGAGGTAAGGGGAGGAATACCGCCGTCATTGGTGTAGTGGGGGTCACGGGTGGTGGGATTATGAGCCTCGAGTTGCCAACTTTCGGAAGTATTCTATGCTGGTGTTCAGAGCCCACGGGAATCACGGCGAGCTGGAGCAATTAGTATGCAGATCTCCCAACGAGCGGGTACTGCGAGTTTGGCCTGGACACGCTGGACACGTGCGGGACCGACGTGCGGGACGGAACGTTCTTCTTGGTCTGTGGCCCTCGCGGGCCTTGTAGGAAGTTTTGGGGGGCCTTTGGAGCTCTCTCAGGGTACTCGTGGGGCCGTCCAGGGTCATCCTGGCGCCCTCTTTGGGGTCTTGCAGTCGTGTTGGCAGGTTTGGGGGCCGCGTCGGAGAGTCCTGGGGCCGTCCTGGGTTTCTCTTGGGCTCATTTCGGGTCCGTCCTGAGGCCATCCCAGGGGCATCTTGCGCTGTCTGGGCGCGACGGGATCTCAAACCAGACTGAAGCCACCTACCTGGATGAGTGGGGGTGTCTCAGCTCTCTCTTGGGACCTCGTCGAGCCTTCCTGGGGTTCCGGGGGGCCTGCTGGGTTCTTCTCGCGGCTTGGACGCTGTGGAGCCCTTCTTCGGCGGCGAGCTTGGGCGGGAAGTGAGAAGGGGCGGGCCTTCTGAGAAGGCAGAAGGCCTCGGGCCTTCTGAGGAGTTTTCGAAGCCTTCCCCGAAGATCCTTTTTGATTCGCGGGTCGATAGCGCACCTCTTCCGGTCGAAGCTAAGCGGGCCGCGCAAAATTTGAATTAACCAGAGATGGGCGAGCGCAGCCTCGACCCCGAAGATACAGAACACCTCTCGGAGAGCCGGAGGGCTTCTGCGAAGCCCCGCCGCCCTCTGAGCAGGCTTACTCCTCCTCACCTTCCCCCCGCGCTCGCCGCCGAACCCTGGAGGCTCTGGAGCCCCTCCGCAGCCGTCCCGGATGGTCTCGTGGGCATCCTTTCGGCGCCTCCCGGGGGAGAAGCCCAGACCGTCACGACGCCGTGACTCTTTCATGGCAGGGACCCCCAGGCTGTCTGGGCCCCCTCCCCGGGGCCCGCCCGGAGATCCGACGCCTCCCGAAAAAATGGAGCGGCGGGAGTTGGGCTCTGTTGGGCCTCCGGAGGCCTCGCCGGGCCTCGGGACCTTCAAGAAGCGCGACTTGGGGCGAAAAACGGGCCCTTGGGGAAGTGGTCCAGGCTTCTCCAGACTTCCAGGGCCCACGCGTCAGAAAACTTGGAGCGGCCGGCTGCGTGTTTTTACCCCGAGGCGCACAGCCGTCCGTGCTGCATGTTTGTGCATGACTCGAGAGAGCCTGGACCCACGCGCCCTCGTTCTCCCCCCCGCGGCACACGAGGGGTCGGCGGATTCGGCGTGGGCCACGACGCCATGCGAGGCGTGCAGGACGGTGCCCGGGACCAGGCCATCGTCATCAGCGGGGAGAGCGGCGCGGGCAAGACCGAGTCGGCCAAGCTGCTCCTCTCCTACGTCGCGTCGGCGGTGCGCTTTGGAGCCGTCCTCGAGTAGGGGATCGACTACAGAATTGATTTGCCCCAGAATTTATTTTCCCCGTCGAATCTTCGACGAATGCGTAGAATTCGCGCATCTACTAAAAATTCGAAGTATCTTTCCATAGATTCGGCGAGAAAATGATTTCTGGGATAAATCAATTCTGTAGTCGATCCCCTACTCGACGTCTCGGGGTGGCCTAGCACTGGTTCCGGCCAGCAGGAAGGGCGGGCAGGTTCGAGGTTATGAGCTCGGGGAAGTGTCTGCCTTTTTGCTTGTCACCCGGGAGCCTTTTCCGGGGCCCCGGGACCTTGACAAATTGATTCTAGTTGACAAATTGCAGCAGGGTGGGCCCGTGCAGGAGCCTGGGGACCGATCTTGAGCGGATGTGGCCTCATCCCCCCTCCTGGCCGATTCTCTGGGGCCCCAACCAGTTCAGACCCCCTCCCGCCGCCTCCAAGGTGCGCTCGGGCGGCGGCGCCGATGCGGGCGCGCGTGGCGCCGGCGTGGAGGAGAAGGTGATGCAGACCAACCCCGTGCTCGAGGCCTTCGGGAACGCCATGACGGTGAGGAACAACAACTCCTCGCGCTTCGGGAAGTGGCTGGACATGCTGCTGTCCGCCTCCGGCATGCGCGGCTGCAGGATCACGAGCTACCTGCTGGAGGTGACGCGGGTCTGCGGCCAGGCGCAGGGGGAGCGGGGGTTCCACATCTTCTTCCAGCTCCTGCAGGCCGCAGGCTCCTCGCCCTTGGTGCAGGGCCTGGAGCTCGGGAGCTGGGAGCAGTACAGCTACCTCAGGTCAGCATCGCCCATCCTGTCCTTAGCTGCCTCGATACGCCCGTGTTGGAATGCAACACGTACCCTGCTCAAAACGTCCGTGTTAACATGCTGCGTGTTGCTTCAGCGTGTTGGCTCAAGTTTTGCCGAACGCATCGCGCCAGACCTACGTTTCCAGCCTACGTGCTGAGCTCCGCGTCAATTCGCTACGTGTTGCGTGTTGCGTATCGGGGCAGAGAAGACCCTGCCCCCATCCCCACTGAGCCATCGTGTCTCAGCCCCACTGGCCCTCCCTCCCAGGTGGGGATGGGCACCGCGGAACCCGAAGGGACAGGCATGCATCCCCGCCTAGGTGGGCAGGTCGGCCAGTGCTGAAGAAGCAAGAACTTCATAAACACAGACTTTCAGAGGTCCGCGCGGATTTCTTGGATCCTCGCAGGACCCCCGTGGTGGCGCCTCCGGTCCCCCCCTTGGCGCCCTACGCACGCCAAGTTGAGGGGTCTGGTCTGGTGCCAGAGGCGCCACCAGGAAGGTGCCGCAGGCGCCGCCAGGGTGTCCAGCGCAGATCTAAGAAATCCGCGCGGACCTCCGACAAACTATTCTTATGCTGTTTTTGTCTTCCTCTACAGTGGGCCAAGGCCACGCCAGTGGGAATGGGAGTCGCTTGAAGATGCCCATCAGGGGCAGCACCCGCCTCGCCCCCGGCATCAACGATGCAGCGTGCTTCGAGGAGACGTGCGCATCCCTGGGTTCCCTCGGGTTCTCCGAGGCGGACCAGGGCCAGGTGTTCCGGCTGGTGGCCGCGGTGCTGGTGCTCGGGAACGTGGACTTCGTGTGCAACGGCCAGGATCGGGTGTTGCTTGAAGTGGTCTTGGCCCAAGGTGACCCCAGCTCCTCCACGGAGACCCAGCCCAGATGGCCTCCAGAGCACCCCTCACAAGGCCCAGAGGGTCTAAAGTGATTCGACACGCTGGGGACACTTTGGGCCAGGACAACTTCCAGCAACACCGGACAGGAGGAGCTCTCCCTGCAGGACTCGGGCCCCATCGAGCGCGTGGCGGACTTGCTACAGGTTCGATGGTCCTCAGGACGCGTGCCAGCCCAGCGTGTGTTTACCCCATTCAGATTCGCCGACATCACGCAGCTCGTGTCGGCCCGTATTGCACCGCCTGCGTCGTATTTGAAGGGCTCTGGAGGATAAGCACACGTTGGTGCTAACACGCGTTCCGAGGATCCTCGACAGGTGGACGGGCGTGCGCTCGGCAGCTGCATGCTCTGGCGCAAGGTTGTCGCCGGCAGGGACGTCACCACGACGCCCCTGCGGGGGGACCAGGCGCGCGCCGTCCGCGACGGGCTAAGCCGGATGCTGTACAGGTTCCTCTTCGAGTGGCTGATCCGGCTGCTTGCGGCAGGTCCCGCCGACGTGCCAGCGCAACACGAAGGCCGTCAAATCATGTGACACCTCTCGTGTCTACTCCTCGAGGAGGTCTCGCGGGGGCTACCCGGGCCGCCTCGGAGTTCTTTCGGACAGGGCTAGGACGAGGAGAAATACGGTCCAGGGCGTCCCGGAACGCTCTCGGAGCGTTCCGGAACGCTCTGGGAAGGCCGCGGCGCCCGAGACATCCTCCAGAGCCGCCGAAGCTCAGAGGTCCTCGATTTATCCTCATCCGGAGTTGTCCTCGTCCCGGCTTCATCTTGCTGTTCTAGCACGAGCTGTTCTGGGCCCCTTGTCGGGCCGTCAGCGGGCCTTTCTGTAGTTGTGGTGTGCCGTCTGGGGGCCCTCAACTGGGCTCGTTTGGCAGTCCTCTGGCTCTTGCGAGGCCCTCTTGGCACCATGCGCACCACGGCTCCGTTGGGTGATTTTAGCCTTCCTGGAGGACCTGGCCTTCTCTTTGAAGTCTTGGCAGCATCTTGGGGCCTCTTTGGGCGCCTTTGAGGTTTTTCTTTTATGGAGCGATTGGTGGTGACGTTCCAAGGAGGACAGGAGGTGAGGGGCAGGGCGTGAGAAAAGGTAGAAGAGGGGAGGGTGGCCGTTGAGAAAAAGAGGGGACGGAGTGACAATCAGGCGATAACGTTCTGGCAAGGCTGGCCTGTAACTTTCAGTTGTGCGCCTGTGGCGCACCCATCCCGGCCAGGCCCATCCTGTCCCCTGGGCCAAGCCAGGATGACGCATGCACCGACCCTGGGCTCAGGACTGGCCTCGCCAGGACTGGCGTGCTTGTATGCACAGCCTTTTTAAATCCAGAAGATATGGTCAACTTTTTGGGGAATCCTGGGAATACCGTGCCTACTTTTGGTGTGTCCCTGGGCCCCTCGAACTCTACCACGCCTCCGCGTGCTACGGGCCACGGTGGCGGATCCGGAGGATGAACGATCAGCTCCACGAGCCGGGGCCCTCCGCACCGGCCTCGCCGGCGCCCTCCGCACCCGGCTCTCCCGTCTCCGCCGCGGCGCAGGAGCCGGAGAGGGGGCGGGTGGAGACCCCGGTGGCTCGCCCGGTCGGGGGTCGAAGGAGAAACCACGGGCATGTCCCGTAGGAAATATAGTTACAGGAATCTTCAGGACATGCTCAAAGAAATCCATCGAAGCCCTTCGGAAGGCCATAAGGTTCCTTAGGAGTGCCTGTTGCTGTTGCTGGTGTTTGTGTTGCTGTTGCTGTTGTTGGTTGCTGTTGTTGCTTTTGTTGTTGGTGTTGCTGCACGTAAGTTTTCAAGGAGGGTCCACGCGGATTGCTTAGATGTGCGCTGGGCCTCCCTGGCCGCGCCTCTGGCGCCGGCCCTGGCGCGCTCCGTGCGCCAAGGAGGGGAGCCCACAGCGCGGATCCAAGAAGTCCGAGCGGGCCGTCGCAAATGTATGCATATGTCGTTATGTCGTTGTTTTTTCCCACATTTTTCGTGGGGTTATGGTTTTCTTCCCACCCGCGTCGCACCCGCGTCTTCCTCACATCACCTCCCGCCTCCTCCTTTCTCCTCATCCTCGTCCTTCTTCCCTTCACCCACACGCAACACATGCACTGCACGTGCATCAGACACGCGTCTACATGCAGCCGCACAGCACAGCTTAGCTCAGCACAGCACAGCACAGAACAGCACTGCACAGCACAGCATAGCACCTCAGCAGAGCACAGCACAGCACAGCACAGCACAGCACGACGGTCGTCCAGGGCACAGCAGGCGTGGGGTTTTGTCGACACCATAGGGGGTGCGCAGGGGTGGTCCCTCAGCGCGGCCTCTATGCGTGCCAGGGTCTGAAAGCGTGGCGGGCGTTGCATTTCTCTGCGCCAGAGGGGGTGCGCAAAGAGTGGTCCCTTCAGCGCGGTCTCTATGCGTGCCAGGGTCAGAAAGTGTTGCACGTGTGACATTTTCTCGACGCCAGAGGGGGTGCGCAGGGGGTGGTCCCTCAGCGCGTCCTCTATGCGTGCCAGGGTCGGAAAGCGTGGCAGGCGTGGCACTTTGTCGCCACCAGAGGGGTTGCGCGGGGGGGGGTCCCTCAGCGCGGCCTCTATGCGTGCCAGGGTCGGACAGCGTGGCAGGCGTTGCACTTTCTCGGCGCCAGAGGGGGTATGCAGGGGGTGGTCCCTCAGAGCGGCCCCTGTGCGTGCCAGGGTCGGAAAGCGCGGCAACCGCAACACTTTCTCGACACCAGAGGGGTGCGCAGGGGGTGGTGGTCCGCCACGAAGTCCTCTCTCCTTCCTTCCGTCCCTCCCTTTCCTCTCCGCCCCGCCCTGTCCCTTTCGCCCTCGTTCCTCCTCCATCCCCTGGTTTCTGTCGCCCCCATCCTCCTTCCCACCCTCCCATTCCGCCCCTCCCTCCCATTCCGCCCATCCGCGTAGCAGGCGTGGCATATTCTCGTAACATTAGGGGGTTAGGGGGTCCGCAGGTGGTGGTCTCTCAGCGCGACCTCTATCCGAGCCGGTCGTCCAGGGCGTAGCAGGCGTGGCACTTTCTCGACACCATAGGGGGTGCGCAGGGAACGGCCACCAACATCATTCTCACATGCTTCATTTCAGCTATCAGCACTCCAGCTATAATATAAGTATGTGGGGTTCCTCGGTAGCGTACTCGTTTTCCGTTTCTTTGTGGGGCAGGGGAGCCTTCGTCGCCACTGCTGGACGCAGCTCGGGGAGAAGAAGGTGCAGTTGGGCCCTGGGAGGTGTCCAGGATGGTGCGGGCTGGACCCTGGGAGGTGCCCAGGGTTAGATTTTCAGCCGCCGCTGGCTCCAGTAGCCTTGCTCTAGAGGATCGAGCGACGAAGTCTATACACATACACTGCCCCCTGGCCGGGCCCTTCCTGGCCAAGCCAGGAGAGCGTGGCTTCTGCACCGCTGCTGAGTTCAGGATGGGACTGGCCAGGGAGCACATATGGATAGATTTCGTCGCCCTAGAGGAGGCGGCCCTGCCCACAGTGCGGCAAGCAGAGGAGGACCTGGGCTACCTGGCGTCGGACGCCGCTGTCCATCGCCTGCTGGGGATCCTGGACATCAGCGGCTTCGAGACCTTCCAGACGAACTCGCTGGAGCAGCTCCTGATCAACCTCAGCAACGAGCACCTGCAGCTCCAGTTCAACGAGCACGTCTTCAAGGCCGAGCTCGAGGACTGCGCCAAGGAGGGCGTGACGCTCAGCCAGGCCATCTGCTACGCGGACAACTCCGACTGCGTGGCGCTGGTGGACGGCAAGGGCGGTATCCTGGACATGCTTGACGAGGACCTCATGATGCCCCAAGCATCCGACCTGACGTTCTCCAGGAAGGTGCTGCAGGGCCACGCCAAGCACCCGCGCATCGTCGCGCCCAAGTTCGCCGGCGGCGCTCTCTTCGGCATCAGGCACTACGCTGGGGAGGTCAGCTACTCGTGCGACGGCTTCCTGGAGAAGAACGCCGACAGGCTCGAAGACGAAACGAATGTCATAAACCTTCGGAGCTCCGCACGAACTTCTTGGCTCGGCGCTGGGCCCCGCCGGCGGTGCCTCCGGCGCCGCCCCTTGCAAGCTCCGCTCGCCAGAGAACGGGGGGTGGGGTCCAGCACCGATCCGAGAACGCTGCGCGGAGCTCCGAGAGCTGGTGCTCGTGCCTGCTCTTCGTCTCCCTCTAGAGGCTGCCCTCGCTGGACGCCGTCGAGCTGCTCTCCGCCTCCCCGCTGCCGGTGGTGTGCGCCATCGGCAGGGCGCTGGGGGAGCAGGCGGCGGCCCAGGGCGCCGCCGGAGGGCCTCGGCCCGGCCAGGGCCAGCGGAAGTCGGCCACCGCGCGGTTCCGCACGTCGCTTCGGGCCCCGATCTCAGCGCCCGGCTGGGCAGGCACGCCACGCGATCACGTGGTCCGATCGCAGCCCCGATCGCGAGGGCTACCGCGCCGATCTCGCGTGCAGGCTCGGACGATCGCGTGATCAAGCCGCACCGGCCACGTGGTCAGCGATCACGTGATCTTGGGGTTATTGTGACTTGTGATCGCCGATCGGTTGATTAGGAGGCGCTGAGGCCCTGATGCACAAGATCGGCCGCGCCGACACCCACTACGTCCGGTGCGTGAAGCCCAACACCGAGAAGGTTCCCAGCAGCTTTACCGCCTCCATCCGAGGGAGAAAAAAGCGGTGAAAGCATGAACTTTCGGAGCTCCGCGCAGAGTTCTCAGATCGTCGCTTGGCCCCCGTGGCGCCGCCTCCGGGGCCGCCCCTGGCGCGCGCCAGGCAGGGGGTCCTGCGCCGATCCAAGAAATCGGGGCGGAGCTCCGAAAGTTCGTGTTCACGCTGTTCTTGCTTCCTTGGTCCATGGTCCGGGAACAGCTGCTGCACAGCGGCGTGCTGGAGGCGGTGCGCATCCGCCAGGCGGGCTACAGCTCCCGGCTGTCCTTCCGGGCCTTCGCGCTCCGCTACCGGTGCGTCGTCGCCGTCCGGCTGCCCAGGTCCGATTGGTTCCCGTGCGTGCCTCGCGCCGCAGCGGGCGGCGGGAACGAGCGGGCCGCGGCGCACGAGCTGGTGCTCCACGTGCGCGACCGGCTCGAGCTGGCAGAGGCCCAATTCGTCCTCGGGGCCACGAAGGTGTTCATCAAGGCCGAGGCCACGACCAGTCTCGAGTCCGCGCGCACGCTCGCGTGCATGGCGGCGCTGCAGCACATGCAGAGCGCCGTCCGCGCCGCCACGGTGAGGCGTAGGGTGGCCGCGGCGAGGCCGCTGTTGCTGCAGCTGCTGCGCTGGCTTCGGGGCCAGACCAGGCCGCTCATGCTGCTCCGCTACGACGCCCTGCAGACCGCCGAGAGCGAGCTGGCTGCCGTCGCGGACCTGCTCGCACGCCTCGACGCGCTTCCGCTCCGCTTCGGGCTGGAGCGCCGCGCTGCGCTTGCGGAGAGGCGGCTGCGGGAGGAGATCCTGGCGCTGGCACTCGTGCAGCGGCACCTTCGCGGCGCGCTGGTCCGCGGGAGGCTGCGCCGCGCGCGGGGCCTGCTCGCGGACGTGCACGCGTGGCTCGCGAGGTGCTGCCCCGAGCCTGCCGTGCCGAGGCGCGGGGGGATCCTGCTGCTGCAGCAGTTCGCCACGTTCGAGGCCGCGGAGCAAGAGCTGGCGCTCATAGGGCCGCTGCTGCAGCGCGCGTGGGAGTTACCGCTGCCCCTCGGCGTCGTGGCGCGCGCCGGCCCCGTGGAGGAGAGGCTGCGGCGAGAGCTCTGCGCGGTGCGGACCGTGCAGCGGGTGCTGCGGGCGGCCTTGGTGCGGGCGCGGCTGTCCAGAGCGCGCGGCGCGCTGGAGGACATCAAGCAGTGGGAGAGCAGGTGCTGCGGCGGTAGGGACTGGCGCAGCGGGCGCCTGGATCACGCCTTGGCCCGGCAGTTCGGGACCTTCGAGCGCGCGGAGGACGAGCTCTCCCTCGTCGCTTCTCGGACCGCCGCGCTGCCGGAGTGGGCGGGCGGCCTAGGCCTCGTGAGGCGCGTGGAGGCCACCTGCGAGCGCCTGTGGAGTGAGGTGCAGGCCTTGCGGCGCATCCAGCGCACCCTGCGCGGTGCCGCCACGCGCCGGAGAGTCGCGGCGGCGCGTGGGGCCGTGGTCGGCGTCCGAGAGTGGTTGCTGCGAGTGTGCCCTGCGGCCCTGGAGTGCGCAGCGACGGGTGGCGAGCATCACCCGGCCTTGCTGGAGCGCCTACGGACCCTCGAGAACGCCGAGCTGGAGCTCGCCAGCGCGGCCGAGTGCCTCTCGCGGGCGGCGGCGCTGCCATTCGACTTCGGCGGCCTGGTGGAGCGGGCTGGGCGCGCTCAGGCGAGGCTGCAGGCAGAGGTGGAGGCGCTCCAGGCCGCGAGGGACCAGGTGCACGCGGCCAGCTTGGACGCCGGGGCGATGAGGGTGGTTCTCGAGCGCGCGAGCGAGCTGGCGCTGCCCACGACGCTGGAGGACGTCGCCGCCCTGGTCGACCGCGCGCGGAAGGTCGAGGCCCAGGTGCCCGTAGCGGAGGCCCTGCGAGAGGTGGTGAGCTCCGGGGACTTCGTCGCGGTGCCCGACGCGCTGCGCGGCGCGGAGCACGCCGGGCTGCTGCGGGACCCGCAGCTGTGGCTGCCCGAGCTGGGCGGGCCCGCGCTGCTGGCCCAGGTGGCCGCGATCGTGGAGGCCAAGGAGGCGCACGCGAGGGTCCAGGCGGAGCGGGCCGCCGCCGAGGCCCAGGAGGCGCTGGAGCGCCAGCGGATCGCGGAGGCGGTCGCCGCGGGGCTCCCCGCCACGGGGAAGAAAATTATGGAGACGCCCCCCAGTGGAGAGCCAGCGAGCTCGTGCGCCGCCACCCACCCGGTGGGCATCAGGGGGGCTCCTCGGCGGGTGTCTGTGTGACTATGCTGTCTGGTTTGGGTGTGCGTTTGTGCGGCGATCCAAAGCGATGTCGTCTAACTGAGGACCCGGCCGGCCGCACGCCCCCGTCCCCTCCGCTTTCGACCTACTTCGCCACGTGGCCGCGCGCGAGGCCGTGACCGCCAAAATTGCGTATATCTGGCAGGGCTGGGACAAGGATCAATCCGTTCCAGAGCGGCGTTCCGGGGCGCTCTCAGAGCAATCCAGATTCCAGAACGCTCTGGGAAGGCCGCGGCGCCCGATACAGCCTCCAGAACCGCCTCATCTCAGAGATTCCGATTTTCATCCCTGTGCGATGTCATGCTCGCCCTGGCTCTCGTTGCGCAGGTTCGCTCTCGTCGTAGCATACACGTTGTTCATGTCTAATGATTCGAAAGTTCTTTGATTTCTGGGGGGCCAAGATCCTTTCATTTCTAATTGTTCTATCCTGGGCCTCCTCCTGGCCACTAGGGGGCCAGGAACAATTAGAAACGAGCACAATTAGAAATGAGCACGATTAGAAATGAACGACGTGTAACTCTCGCTGCGCAGCCTCGTAGTCCAGCTTCGTCTTAGCACCTCCGCACGGCTCTCGTGGCGCAGGTTCGCCGACGCCGCCCGGCGGGCGAGGGCCGGGCTGCCGCCCGGCTTCGCGCCCGAGGCCGCCGCGGGGCCGTCCGAGGGCGGGCGCGGGGAGCTCGACGTGGGCCCCTCTGCGCCGCGCGCGCGGCAGGCGCTGCTCGCGGGCGCGGGTCGCGCGGATGAGCCGGGCTCGATGGGCAGGGTGGTGGCGAGGCTCACCGAGGATCCGCCAGGAGGAGGATCTCTCGAGGCCTCCCAGATGCAGGTCGGGCACGTCCCCCTGCAGGAGGAAAATGCAGAACTCGTCAAGAAATAGTCTTGGGACGATCTTTCGCCTATTTTTCCAGCTGTTTTGGGGCATGATTTGAATCTTTTCATCTTTGGCCCAAAATCCACCTGTAGGAGGACATGCCCGACCCAATCCTAGATGGGCGATGATGCGGCTCGATGTGGAGCCCGTGTTTCCCCACGCCGACGTCGCCGACGCATCGGCGATGCGGCGTGATCCTTCGACGCCCTTTCCTCGGACCCCGTCCAGAATGCCTCTCAGGATCGAAGAACTTCGAAGACCGCGGGTGCAGGCACGCAGGCGTCGGTGGAGACACGGGAGGGGCGCTCCAGAGGCGAATTGTGGCACAGGGTAGGAGGACACCAAGAAGGAGGGCTCGCGTGTTTTTGCTGTTTGTTTCATTCCTGCGCGCTCAGCGAGCGTTACCGTGGGGGGGGGGGGGGGGGGGGGCGGAGGCTGACCGAGGATCAGTGGGCCGCGCGCAGACGGGGGGGGCAGGAGGGAGGGCTTCCTAGAAGCACCCCTGCTTCTTAGACGGCGGGGGCCTCGTCTACAGGTGCAGGGCCGGCGCCTACTAGGAAGCAGCCTCCTCCTTCCAGACGCCTTGGCCCCTCCCTCTACAGCCGCGTTTTCGCGCCGCCAGATCAGAGGAGAGGAACACCGAATAACAAAACACGTAGACATGGTTCATTTTTAATTCTTCGAGAGTTCTTGGTTTTTTGGGGGGCCAAGATCCTTTTATTTCTAATTCTTGAATCCTGGGCCTCTTCCTGGCCACTAGGGGGCCAGAAACAATTAGAAACGAGCACAATTAGAAATAAGCACGATTAGAAATTAACGACGTGTACCCCCGGGCGACAACGGGCGTTACCGGTGGGAGCGGGGGGAGGGGGGGGGGCAAGCTAGGTGCGCTCGCGTCAACATCTGACATCCTACCCCTCCCTCCCATCCCTTCCCATTGAGCTACTTCATTGTCCTCTCACCGAATCGGGCAACATTCTGAAGGACCGGAAAGACTCGGATTTTCAAAAACATAGATGAAAACCAAACTCCCGGGAATCCTGTGCGGACAAGGACGCCGCCCAAAAGGGGGGGCTTTCTGCGGCCCCAAAAATCAACGAATCGACACCGGATGTGTAATCACCTCCAATGTTTTTGCCGGGGAGAATTTTCTAGATTTGGGGCTTCTTAAAAAGGATCGAAAACGTCGGCGCTGCAGCGGGAGCACGTTTTGGAACAACGAGAGGCGCAGAAATTGGGCCAGCGCTGCAGCGGGAGCACGATTCGGAACGAGCGGGAGCGCGGAAATGTGGCCAGCGCTGCAACGGGAACACGATTCGGAAGGAGCGGGAGCCCGAAAATTAGGCCAGCGCCTCTGCGAGAGCAGCATTTTAGAAAAAAACGCAAGCGAAAACCCAACTCCGGGGAATCCTGTGTGTAAAAAACAGTACGCGGGGGGGTGCCGAATATCTTCCGGACGCCATCAGGGGAAGTGGGAGAGTAGTATTCATATTGTGTAATTGTGCAGTGCGGAAGTTTCTTTATTCCCGGGCGATAGCGGGCGTTACCGGCGGGGGTGGGGAGGGGGGGGCAGCAACGTCACGTTTCGCGCCGGCGCCGTCTGGGAAAGTCGAAGATCAATCAAAAACATACTGGAGGTCGGCCGACTTGTGGCGATACACCAAGGGGGGTGGGGGCGGCCAGGGGCGGTAACGGCCGCTATGGCGAACAATGAAAAAAATGCTCCTCCAGGGTGGTGGCGAGGCTGACCGAGGATCAGAGGAAGAAGTTCGAAGAACAAAACAAGGCACAAACATGAACTTTTGACGCTCCCAGCGGATTCCTTGGATCTGCGCGTGGCCTCCCTGGCAGCGCCTCCGGCGCCGCCCCTGGCGCGCTTCGAGGGGGCTTCAGCGCAGATCCAAGAAATCCGCGCGGGTCTCCAACAGTTTATGTTTACGCCTTCCTCCAGAAAATGTGCCGACCCCAAGATGGCCTCACAAAGGCCTGGGAAGACTCCAAGATGGATCAAGACGGTCCAAGAGACTCTCAAGAGACATCGAAAAGGGGGGCAACAGGCCGCTACGAGGATCAAGATGCCAAAGTTAGGAGGGACCGAGGGACTAGATGTTGTCAAATCATTCCTTTCATGCAAATACAGATCTGGGCATTCGCTCTTTCCCAGGTTCCCCACGGCCCACGCCGGCCGAAGGTACTTCCGAGATGATCCCAGTATGGCCCGAGAGGCCTCCAAGATGGTTCCAGACCCCCCCTCGTGGTGCAAACATCGCGACGGAGGGTGTGTTGAAGTTTCGGCCCTCGGGGACCCTCGCTGGGCCTCAGGACCATCAAAAGACGACTCGGGATGGAGAACGAGCACAAGGGAACGGTTCGAGACCTCTGGAGGGCGACGTCGCGAAGCTATACGACGTCGGATGTCTGGGTAGGGGAGGGGGAGGTACCGATGCCGCTGCCCGTGCCTCGCATTCGACTTGTGTTGGCATTCTCAACGGCCCTTGCCGGCACGGCTGGATTCCCCTTGATAGTCAACGCGCGCCCTGGCGCAGGTCTGGGGAAAGCTCGGGAGAGAAAAGGAGTATGAATGGCGCGCCGCCTTTGGGGTGAGCCCGCCGGCGGCGTGTTTCTCTCCTTCGCTCTGCGTGCCTGGAAACCTGGAGCTGGTGTTCCCTGGATGGGCCGATAGGGTCCCCACGGCGGCGCGTCGTCCCTGCTGTTCCCCGACGTCCGACGTTTTTTGATATTGAGCAGCTCCCCGCAAGTCTGGACCCCTTCCCCGGGAACAGTTTTGCCTCCTGAGTCGTTTTGTTGGCGGTCCAGGGGCCCGCTCACCTGGGGGCCAGACGTGGGCAGAAGCCCTCCGTCGTGATCTCTTCACAATGAGGGGGATGTCAAGGTTCCCTGTTTGGGTTCCGGGCCATACCGCAGCTCTTCGGAGGTCGCTCGGGACCATATAAGCCCCCGCAGAACGCCCTCGGCGAGGCGCAGCTGCCGGAAGACAGCCCAGGGCTGGAACGCCGCCGACAACCAGCCGAAACGTGGACAACCGAGAATTTCGAGCCTCGGTCTCCCTGCGTCGTCAGGGCATCTGCGCCCCCAGGAGCGCGACGGGCTGCGCGAGGCGATGCAGGAGGCGCTCGTGGACGCGCTCGGCCGCGAGGAGGCGCTGCTGGCGGAGTGCCGTGCGTTGCGCCGGGGGGACCCGGCGCCAGGCCCGAGGCCGGTGGCGTCTAAGAGTCAGATAAGACATCGATTACAGAATTGATTCACTCCAGATTTGATCCCGTTTGAAAGCCGTCGCAGAAAGACGTGTCCAGGGTTCCAGTCGAGGTTGCGCACGATTCTGGATTTCTTCGTGACGGCGGGTCTCACGGACAGTAGGGGGGCCGGGGGTGCATCGACTCCCAGTCGCCCATTGATCGCCGATGGGGGCTTGATAGCACACCCCGCCCAGGAACTTGCAGATTCGCTAGCGGGGGCCTATCTCCGATCTATCGGCGACGTCTCGTCGATTCTAGCCCGATGTTCCCCCCCCCCCCCCCCCTGAGCTGGTCCCGCCACTACGTTGCCCCTCCCTGATGAGGGCTGGAGGGGAAGGGCGGATATCATGGCGGGGGCCGTGCGGCCTCCCATATCTCGTGGCCTTTTCCCTCTTCTCTCAGGGCGTCCCCTGGCCGCCCCTCGTCCGCGCGCGTGCCTCGGGAGAAGACATCCGACGCTGTGACATGTTCGCTCGAGGAGCGGTCCCCAGGGGGCGCGGCCCCTCCCCCAGCTGGAGTGGTCTTGCGTCTGTGGTCCACGTCGGATCGTCCCGGGGCCCGATGTCGGGCCCCACAGGGGCAAACCTCGTGGAACAACGCCGTGACTGAGAAGCCACACCGTCGGAGTTCTTTGGGTTCTGGTGCGCTAGCCCCCCGCCCCGTGCCCCCCCCCTTCCCCCCCCCACAGAAGAAACAAGTTGCATAAACGGAAACATCTGGCGGTCCCCACTGATTTCTTGGATCTGCGCTGGACCCCTTCTGGCGGAGGCTCCGGCGCAACCGCTGGCGCGCTCCGCGCGCCGGGGAGGGGGCCCAGCGCCGATCTTCAGAGCTCTCTGCTGTCCTTCGAGAGTTGACGTTTATGCAGTCTGTTCTGCCTCTGGTGGAACCTCTCCCCAGGTCTCATGGATCCCTCCTCTTCTTTCAAGACGTCCCCCGGCCACCCCTCGTCCGCGCACGTAATTATCCCGTGGCCTCGGTGCGCTGACCCCCTCTTCCAGCCCCCCCTCTGAACTCGTGGTTTTCTAGCAGCAGAGGTCTTGACATTTTCCTGGGGACTGGCGCTGCATCCTGTTGCTCAACAGTCCCTGGGCCCGGCGGGGGCTCCCAGGCGCGAAAATGCGAAAAAACTTACCGTCGCTATATTTCCATCTATTTTCCAAGGCCAGATGTCCTTCGATTTGATGTCTGTTCAACTCGCGGTTCCTCGTTTCTCGCTGTGGATCCAGTCTGGATGGTCTGGGGCCCGATGACGAGCCCCAGAGACCGAAATCGAGGGAAAACGCCGCGACGGAAGAACACATGTCGTCTGAGGTTTGAACTTCCATGCCGTAATTCGGTTCTCTGGCGGCCGTTCGGAACTGTTCAGGTACGCCTGGACCGCCCTTGGCGATGAGCAGCTACTGGAATCCTGATGCGAGAACACCTGCAGTAACCAAAGAGACTCTCGAGGAACCAACGAGGACCTCCAGAAGTCATAAAGGGGTTCTTCGCCGCAACCTCGGCGATGGACGTCGCGGAAAATGCAGCATCGTAGAAGATGATGCTGGAGCCCTGGGCCCCATCTTTTGTGCTGCATTTGCGGGGTTGGGTCGATCCGTGACGGTTTCGGGGCTAGAAACGTTGCAAGATCGCTAGTTGTGACAAGATCATCGACGCCAGGATCTCAAGGGAATTTTACTTTGATGACCGCGCGGGTGGCTAAGGGGATAGGGGGATTAGAAGTGTATGATCAGGTGGGTTATATCTGGCCGAGCCTAGCTTTCAGGGGGGATGCAGGTGCCGTAACTGGTTTAGGGGGCGGTACAGATCTGGTATAGGTGGGTGGAGCCCAGTTTGCGGAGTTATCTAGTAATCCTGAACTAGTTTCAGCACGTGTGATCAACTTATAAGCTAGGTTTGACCGGCTATAGCGGCTAGAACACACCATGGCATCCTTTTACGACCTCTTTGTTCCTTTAGCAGCCCCAGCGGTGATCTCAATTCGAGGAGTTGGGGGCTCTTCGGTGCAAATTTGGCGAGGGACGTCAAGAAGAATGCAACGTTGGAGACTGAGCAGTCGAAGGCCAGACTGGCAGATCGGACTGCGCTTCTGGGACCAATCCTGCATCAGTCCCCTGTATGAATTCCAATCCGGCGCCAACCCGGCGCAGCCCAATCCGGTGTTGACTTTCTCAATCTGATGATCTTGCACGTCGGGTTTATGGTTTGTGGCCCTTTGGTTTTACGTGTGCAATGTATTTCGTCGGGGCGAGCCAGACTGCATCAGTTGACAGATTGCCAGATTGGTTGCGTCTTCGGATTGACCAGATTGTAGCGAGTGCCAGGGTGCACCAGATTGGGATCGCGGCCAGACTGGCCCCGCTAGACAGCCGCCATATTGAAGCATTTCTCAGGTTTCCAGATTGGCAGCGATGCCAGATGGAATGGAGCCCTGGACCGCATCTGTCTGCTTCAGATTTCGAGCTAGATCGATCCGTGAGGGCCCCTGGGCCCGACACAGTGCAAGTCCGTCCGCTTCGGCCAAAAAATTAGACGGAAGGGTTGCAGGAGCGGTCTGGGAGCTTGGATGAACGCGGGGGTGGCTCAAGGGATAGGGGGGTTAGAACCGGATGCGAAGTAGAGAAATATCTGGCCTAATTTGATTTATGAGTGGGCTGCAAGTGCCCTGAGTAGTGAAGGGGCGGTGCTGATCTGGTCGAGGGGTGCGAAACGCAAATATGGAACGAATCACTCTCCACTCCAACACCCCCGACGCCACAATTTTTCATGACGTCGACCCCTAAGTGTCTCCCGAGTAGTTTCCTGGCGGTCCCGAGGCCCTATAAAGGCCGCCAGTGATTGACGATAGCGAACGACTTCCTGCCGCGCTTTTCTCAATGACCCGAGGGGGTCTGGGCTTCTAGCTTCGTTATTTCCTCAGTAACCCCCGGCGGTGGTCTCCGTGGGCCAGGCCCGTGGGCCGAGACCCCGTGGCAATACGAGGCTTTTCTTCGCGAGTGCCCCTCGCGGAATGTGTGCGTGCGACCGCATGTCCGCAGGATCGCGCCCTGGAATCGGGCGTATGTCGTCGCTCGCGAACTCTCCCTTAGCACCCCCAGCGGTGATCTCCGTGGGGAGGAGGCGGCGCCAACCTGCCTCGAGACCCGACGTTGCCGTAAACATTACAGCATCGCGTGAAAATCGCGACCAGACCCCGGACCCCAGCATTCTGCGTCAGTTTTCGAGCGGGATGGATCTGTGAGGGTCCCGGGGCCAGAAATGGAGCGAAAACGCCCGGCTTGAAAAAATTGTCGGGATCGGCAAAGAGGGGGGTGATGACTAGGGGGGTAGATATCATGGGGTGGGCCATGATGTTTCCTCAGATTTCATAGCGCCTCTTCTTATTTCATCGCGTTCCCAGCCCCCCCTGGGCCGCGCACATGCCGCCGGTCATGATTTGCACCCCCCCCCTCTTGGACGCCCCCCTCTAGGTAGGGGGCCACATGCGAATACCACCCCTACCCCCCACGATTTCTGGGGGGAGGATGGGGCTCACTTCGTTCGGGAGCTCCCGAACGAAGTGAACCCCACCCTCCCACTCAGAAATCGTGGGGGGTAGGGGTAGGATTCGCATGTGGCCCCCGACCTTGGGGCGCCAGGATCTCAGGGTCCCTCCCCTCCAGGCCTTCCCCCCCCCCCCCCCCCTCCCCCTCCAGGCCTCCACACGTGGCCGAGGGAGGCCCCGCGGAGGAGAAGGAGGAGGGAGGAGGAGGAGGAGAGGAGGAGGAGGAGGAGGAGGAGGAGCAGGAGGAGGAGGAGGAGGAGGAGGAGGAGGAGGAGGAGGAGGAGGAGGAGGGAGGAAAGATGAGGAGGAAGACGAGGAGGAGGAGGAGGAGGAAGACGAGGAGGAGGAAGAGGAGGAGGAGGAGGAGGAGGAGGAGGAAGACGAGAGGAGGGAGGAGGAGGAGGAGGAGGAGGAGGAAGAGGAGGAGGAGGAGCAGGAGGAGGGGGTGGAGGAGGAGGAGGAGGAGGAGGAGGAGGAGGAGGAGGAGGAGGAGGAGGCAGGGTTCGGCGCACCCGCGGCCAGGGACCTCGGGCTCGCCGCGGCCGCTGCGCGCTCGCGGTTGGTCGCCGAGAACGTGCGGCTGCAGGCGGACCTCGTCTCCGCGCGGGCAGCCGCCAGGGGCAGCGCGCCCGGGCAGCGCGAGGCCCTCGAGGAGAAAACACGGAAACGCAGGAGCCCTGAGATCCTGGCCTCGCATCTCGGGCGACCCTGAGATCCTGGCGACTCCATTTTTTCAAGCCGGGCGTTTCCTCTCCACTTCGGGCCCCGGATCCGGCTCGAGAAACTGCGCAGAAAGAGGGGTCCGGGGGGGTCCGGTTGCGATGCATTGTGATTTTGCATGTTTTTTTCGCGACGTCGGATCTCAAGGAAGGTTCGAGGCTCCAGGCTGCTTGTAGGCCCTCGGCGGTCTTGCAGCCTCGGGGCCGCTCTCTGGCTGCTGCGCCTCGCCGAGGGTGTTCCGGGGGTGCCCGGATCGTCCCATAAAACGGCCGCCGGAGGCCCGAGCCGCTTGGGTCCAAGAGGAGAGAGCAAGTAAACGGAGGAGGGCCTTCCCAGACTTGAGTCGGGCATGTCCCTCTCCACAGGAGGAAGATCCAAGGATAGTTAAAGCAAGTGGTCTGATGGCGATGCTTCGTACTTTGCAAGGTGCCGATCTTTCGCCGACAGCGTCCATGGGGGGGCCCGAATCGGCCCGAGCGCGGCCCTCGGAGCCCCGAGTTGGGTTCCGAGAGCAGATTCGCACGGAAGACCGAAGGAGGGCCAGTCGAAACAGCGGCGGCCCTCCCTGCGCTTCTTCGTCCTTTCGGGGCCTCCCTGGGGCTTCTCGTCGCCACACCCGGCTCCGCCTCGAGGAGCTGATCCTGGTGGATTCTGGGAGGGGTTCCGGATATAGATGCGGAGCGGATTTAGGCTGGGTGGGAGAACTGCCGCTGTCTCAACTGGCCCTCCTCCGATATGCGTTTCCTCCCTGGCTCTCTCCTTCGTCGTCGTGGTCGTGGTCGTGGTCGTCGTCGTCGTCGTCGTCGTCGTCGTCGTCGTCGTCGTCGTCGTCGTCGTCGTCGTCGTCGTCGTCGTCGTCGTCGTCCTCCCCACTCCCTGGCGGTGCAAGAGGCACGCCCACGAGAGATGAAAGGTTTGTGTCATCGAGTTGTGGTCTTGTGGCAGGGGAGGATCGGAAGACACATTGACTTTTCGGAGGCCCGGGCGGATCTCTTCGGTCGGCACCGGGCCCCCCCCGGCGGCGCCTTCGGCGGGGATGTCTGGTCCCGGCCCAGGAGGTTCGCTCCCGAGATCTGCTTGGTAACGCTCGGACGTGTGCATTTTTTCTCGGCGGGGATTCTTAAGGAGCATCCTGGATCATCCTGCAGAGAAAATCTCGCGCGAAACCGAACAAAGCACAGGGAATGGACGTCCGAGCGATGGCCAGTGTGTTGACCCAGGCGCTCCATGCCTCGACCCTTGCTCCAGGGTCGGTTCTTCACCCCGGCTCGTTGCCTGAAGGCCCCGGAGCCCGACACTGCCGCCAGAGGCCGAGAACGGCAGACAGCATCCGTTTTTTTCCCGGGAGGGAGCAGGGGCATCGATGGCACGTTGCCGCTGGGAGCCCGTCGGCGAGCTGATCCGTCGTTTTTTGTTTGGTCCGGAGGTTTGCTGCTGTCTTTGCAGGGGCTCGTTGGCGGGCTCCCCCACGGCGGCGTGTCACCGATATTCGCATGCGCATCGACTGAGAGATCGACCTGTTAGCGGCTGCCCCACGGAAATTCCTCATCTCCCGATCGCCCCTGGGACCCACAAAAGCTCAGGTGGGCCCCTCGGATTTGGATCCGTTTCAAGACGTGGGATGTCTGGGAATGCCGTTCTTGAGGGAGGGAGGGAGGGAGGAAGGGGAGGAGAGAGGGAGGGAGGGAGGGAGGAGGGAGGAGGAGGGGCGGAGGGAGGGAGGGAGGAGGGAGGGAGGGAGGGAGGGGAGGGAGGGAGGGAGGGAGGGAGGGAGGGAGGGAGGGAGGGAGGAGGAGGAGGAGGAGGAGGAGGAGGAGGAGAAAATCTGTTTCAAGACGTCGGATGTCCGTGGATGCCGTTTTTGCGCTCCTCCGGAGGCGGCGCCGCCTCCAGGCGGCCTGGCCGGCGCGGAGCTGCCAGTAGCCCGGGCGGCCGCGAGCGGAGCTCCATAGCAGAGGCGGGGAGAAGGAGCTCTGTCCCCTCGTCCTCGTGATCGTCCTCCTCCTCATCCTCCCTCCCTCCCTCCCCTCCCTCCCTCTCCACCCTCCCTCCCCTCCTCTTCCTCCCTTCTCCTCTCCTCTTCCTCCTCCTCCTCCTCCTCTCATCCTCCTCCTCCTCTACGCTGGGCTCCTCCTCCTCCTCCTCCTCCTCCTCCTCCTCCTCCTCCTCTTCCTCCTCCCTCTCCTCCCTCCCCCTTCTCCTGGTCCTGACCATCCCGCGCTGGAGGAGCAGGGTCGAGGGTCGAACGTCCCAGAGATCCAACGTCTTGGATAGACCGAGACGGCGTTTCTCTTTCCCCGCTTGCCTCCATGAGGCCCTCGCCAGGCCTCGGGAGAACACATTAAGGACGGATGCTTTCCGCCGTGATCGGCCTCTGGAGAACGTTTCGGGCTCCAGGACGTTCCAGAACGACACGAGATGGAACGCCAGCCCCCGGGGAACGGGTCGGGACTTCGGGGGAGCCGTCCTGGACAAGTCAAAGCATCGGCTGTCTGGGTATCTCTCCATACCCCTACTTGTCCCTCTCCCTCCCCCTCTCTCTCCCGTTCCCCCCTCAATCCCTCCCTCTTTCCTCCATCCCCTTCTTGTTCGACTTCCTTCAATTCCCTCTTCCTCCTCTCATCCTTCCTCTGCCCCAGCCCCCCGAGACCATCCCCGCTGCATCTCTCATCATGTTTGTTCCCTTCTTCTCTTGACGGATGCTCCAATGATGAGGGCTGGTGCGAGGTTCCCCCATTACAGTCCCAAGGCACTCGAGCCCATCTTGCAACAGACAGGGGACTTGGCCCCATGCAAGACTACAGGACGTTCAGACTTATGTCTTTCCTTCATGCAGTGTAGCAGTGAAGGCGCTGAAGAACGGACCACGGCGGGTTCAGGAGGGGCTTTCTTTTCTGGCCCGATGCCTGGATCTGGGTCGGGAAGCTTCTCCGTGTTTCAGACTCGCCGTGGCCAGAAACGCCCCGTCGTTCCTTAATCCGCATCCCTTAGTGGTAGCAAGATGACAGGAGAGTCCCTGCAGAGGTCCCGGAGGCACACAGAGTTCCTAGGGCCCGCCAGAGGCTCCCAGGGGGCCGCAAATTGTCAAACAAAAATCAGGAACATCGAAAGCCATCAGTCCGAGGGCGGCTCGATCTAGCTGCTGTGCTCCTTTCGGCAGCTCCGAGATGAGATTTTGAGGTAGTGGAGGCCTGAGCAGGCTTTGTAATGTTAGGACGGTCGGGCTAGCGGGCTCTATGACCCTTACTCAGACTTCCGACGTCGTCATTGCTCACTCCTGGAGTTCCTCCCCAATTTCTGCCTGGCGGCCGTTTTCGGGGCCATGGACCATCACACATCCATCCGCGATAAGTCATTGCCCCTGGCGATTTGTCGACAGCTCTGGGTCCTACGGATGGAACAAAGCGCAACGGCGGAGGTCAAGTGAAGGACCAGAGAGTTCAGTCAGATGACCCGGATTGCCGGAGAAGAAGGCCAGACGAGGCAAGGCAAACCAGTTCTTGATTATGACATCCTGTGCGTGTGCAATCCTGACCACCTTGAACCTGTTCGTATGGGGGCATACGTGTTGTTGTGGCTTGTGGTTGGTAGAACCGTTGTTAGTGTTGTTGTTCTTGGTGGTGCGTATGTGTGAAGCTGGTGTGGCTATTTTGATGTGGGTCTGGTGCTGTGCAGTCTTCGCAGTCGGCAGGCGCGCAAAGATTATGCTGAGATGCAGCCTGCTACCACTAGGTTTGGGGTGGTCGCCTGGTGTCGACACAAAGTGGCGCCTGGACGCTAGGTGCTGGATCTCTGATGCGTGCCACTGGCAGCCGTTGCCCAGGGATCTGCAGACGTGTGCCTGGGAGGGGGGGGGGTCAAATGCCGTACGCCGCGGCGTTTCGCCACCAACCCCAGTCGAGACACCAGCTCGCCTTGCCTGCTTCCTCTCCGACCCGCCCGAGCGCTGATCCTTACGTCCCACCCCCTCTGCCGCGGCCCGCGGAGGTGCGCTACGGGATCATAGCCTACGGCGCCAGCTCTCAGGCCGTATGTCTCTTTCCATTATCGCCGCCATCATGCGCGCGTGCGTGCTTCTCTCCCGGCTACTCGCAGGCCGTGCATGGTGCTCGCCTCCTGGTGCCCCTGCCGCCGTATACCTGACGTGGCCATGGGGCTGCGCGCACGATGCATAGGTACAACCCCCCCCCCACTTGCCTCACGTCGGCTCGTCGTCAACAGGCGTTCCAATCAAGCCAGCTGAGTGACCTGGAACTGTCAATCGCTCAAGATATCAGCTGCTAGGGCGCCCGCTGCGCATTCTGACCACAAGTCTTCTTCGTATTCCTCCTCCTCCTCCTCCTCCTCCTGCACAACCGCCTCACCGACCTGTCGTTTCCCTGATGGCCAGCATCATTGTCGCACAGGTCTGCTACAGTCTGCCTTGGGGCCCCTCTCCCAGACGTCCGGCGATCCAGCTTTTTTCCGTGCCTGGACCCCGGGGGGGTCTGGACCGTCTCCCGCCCTGCGCAGCTCTTTCTGCTTTGCGGCCCCGCGGGGGCCCGCTGAGGGCCCGTGGCGGCCCGTCTGAGCCTCGGCTCTGGCATCGCTCGGACATGTGTATTTTTTTCTCGGCGAGGACCCTTGAAGACCATCCTGGACCATCGAGCAGAAAAAACACGCACGACACCGGAAAATGCACGGGAAATGGACGTCCGAGCGACGGACCCTCCACAGCGCTGGCCAGGTGCTGGCCGGCCTGCAGGACGGCAGGGCCGAGGCCGCCGCGGCGCTGGCCGCCGCCGCCGCGCCCGGCGGGGACCCGGACCTCGCGCAGGCCTCGCGCCCTGGCGGGAGGGGGGCTCCGCTCGGGCAGTGCCGGCCGTACCGCAGGGCGCGGGCCAAACGTGTCGGCACGCACGAGATGGGGACGTAAAGAATGGGTACAGTGCCGAACAGCGGATCCTGTTCATTTTGAACAGGACTCGTTGTCCACGCCGCCGCGTCCTGTGTCCATTCGAGACAGGAGGCCGCCTGCCCAACAGCGGCCGCTGTTGGTTTGGGACAACATTTGTTGGGCATTGTACCGATTTTTTCCATGCCAATTTCGGGCGTCCAAAACGTGGTGTCGATGCAGTCGGGGTGGTGGTGGTGGTCACTGCAGAGGGGATTCCCGAGAAGAGCAGCACGCAGCACGACCACGGCGACGCCGACGACGAAGAGGACGCGGCGCGCAGACGATCAGCACCGAAGCACGGCACAGTCAAGGCGCTGGAGTAGGAGCCGACTTGGGTTCGGAAGGGACTCATTGTTCCTTAGGTCATTCCGTGGTTGTTCCTCTAGCAGTCCTCGTGCACCCAGACGCTGCTGGCACCCCAAATGAGCTTCGTTCCTGTTTTAGCGTTCCTTATTTCAGCAGCCCGTCTGTATTTTTGCATGCCGTTTGCGTTTCCCTGTTTAGTTTTCGTACGCGAGTGCGCGGCGGGCGTTCTGTTTTCGTTTTCGCAGGCGACGATTTGGAACGAAACTGGTCGCCTGGGGGATGGCACCGCTTTCGTTTGATACCAACACTCCTGTGTTAGGTTCCTGCTCTGTACAGATCATTGTGGTCTCCACTCATCCTCTCCTCCTCCTCCCCCCCTCCTGCCCCCTACCTCCTGCTTTATTCTCAACCCTCCCTTGGTTGGCTTCTCGTTTTGAATTCGAAAACGTCGTGGGCTCCTAGGAGGTCCCGCGGAGTAGAATTACACGCGGATCCACGCGGGACCTCGCGGCATCCTGGGGGCTGCGAATTGCGCAGTTGTCGCCACTTTCGTGGGCTCCTGGGAGGCCCCGCCGAGTGGAATTACACGCGGATCCACGCGGGACCTCACGGCTCCCTGGGGGGGCTGCGCATTGCGCAATTGCCGAAGAGGAGGTCCAGCGGAGTGGAGTTACACGCGGAGTGAAGTGTTTTTCGTTACTCTCGCCGCCGCGCTCTACTGACTTCGCTCTTGGTTGCTTTTGCACTGCGGATCATTCAACGTGTTCCACTATGTACAGAGTGGTCTTGGGTATAGTCGCCACGTACTCAGAATGGGTTTGGTACGTCCGTGGGTGATGTTCATTGTTCTAGGCTCACGCGGTGTCCAAAACAAGAACAACGTTTTGTTCGCGCCCTGCCCCGACATCCTCTCGCTGCGGAAAATCACGACGGACCGTTCTGGCAAAGTTTCACCGTTTCGGGCCTTTGGGGGCCTCCTGGGAGGCCCCCGGCGCCACCGCTGGATTGGGCCCGAAAGTCTGGTTCGAACGCACCCAGGGGAAGGTCGGGGGAGTTCTGACAGCTTGACATGTTTGCTCTGTGGACAAATCTCAGAAGACGGTGTTTGCTCATTTTCGGCCTCCGCGGGCCCTCACTGGGCCCCCGGGCCGTAACAAAAAATTACTCGGGTTGAACAAGGCGGTCCCGGGGAGGGGATCTAGAGGCCCACGCGGCCAAAAACACGGCGCCGGCTGCCTGGGAGGGTGTGTAAGACGGCCGTCGCCGTCGGTCACCGCCGACGCTGCCTGAGCACCTTTTGATCGAGCTGCCGCTCGGTCCCTCCTCCGAGGCGGGGGGGGGCGGGGCCGGGGGGCGCGGGCGGGCGCGAAGCCGTCGGGTCGTCTCGGCCGCCTCGCCCGAGCGCGCGGGGGAGGGGGCAGTCGCCCCAGAGGCCACTGCGAGACCAGGGGCTGCGCTGGTGAGCCCACAGAGAGCCCTCCCCTCCGCAGGTCGAGCCGTCTGCTGCGTCGCCCCGGTGTTTCGGGCAGCGCCAAGGGGGGGGTCGCCACCTCTTCCTGCTGCTCCTCCTCCTGCTGCTCCTCCTCCTGCTGCTCTTGCTGCTGCTGCTGCTGCTGCTGCTGCTGCTGCTGCTGCTGCTGCTCCTGGAGAGCGAGGATCGAGGAGGATGGACATCCAGGGTCGAGGATGGTTTTGATGCTTTTCGAGGCCTCGTTGAGGTCCTCTGGGGTGGGCTCTGGGGGCTCTGGGGGGGTTATGCTTCCTCGAGTTGGCAGGGCAGCCCCTAGACCGCACTGCATCGCATCGCGCGTGCATCGGGGACCCAGCTCGAGCTGGAATTGGATGTCTTTGGACAGGCATCGCTATGTAAAGAATTGGCTGACGCGTCGGCAGTGCGGACTGAAGATGGAACATGGGCCCCAATTACTCCGGCACCATTCAAGATACCTCGAACTGTTGAGTGTCTTTTGGGCCAGTTTAGTTGACTTTCCTCGGTGCCACAGTTTGGTGGAACCAGCCGTGACACCTGCCGCGGTTTGCCGAAACAAGGGGACGTGTTTTTTGGATGTTGTTCTCCCTCCTATCTTCATCTTCCCCTTCTCTTCTGTGTCCTCTTCATCCGCCGTTTTCTCATCACCACCCCACCTTCCCACCCGCCCTCTCCCCCCCCTCCCTTCCTCCGAGACCATCCGTTCCTCCGGCCGCCGTCTTGCGTGCCCTCCCCAATTCGCTCAAGCCGAGGCGCTCGGATGACTCCAGATGATGATCGTCAGACAAGGAGACGACGACGGCGACGACGGCAACGACGACGATGGCGACGAAGACGACGACACAGACCAGGACGACGGCAACGTGGGCGTCACCGCCGACGACGGCGACGGCGACGACGGCGACGGCGCCGATGACGTCGCCGATGGCGACCACGACGACAATGGCGGTGCCGATGGCGCCGACGGAGACGGCGGCAACGACAGCGGTGACGGCGACATCGACACAGGTGGTAACGATGGCCACGGCGGCGGCGACCGCGACGGCGCCGATACCGTCGGCGGCGGCGCCCGCGGACAAAGCCACCTGCGCGGCCGCAGGGCATCGTGGCCGCGGACAGGATGCTGGCGAGCCAGAGCACCGGGAGCCGCAAGCAGGAGGGGGGGTCTTCGTCGTCGGTCGTCGTCATCGTCATCGTTGCCTTCGGTCGTCGCTGTCGGTTGCCGCCGCCGCCGTCGCCAACTTAGGCAGGGCGTGGCAGGCGCGTCACTTAGGCGCCCCAAGGGGGCGCTACAGCACCTCGCTCGAGAAGCTGGGCACCTTGCAGGGCCGCGCACGATCCGATCCGATGCGGTTCGATTCGCCGACCGGGGCCACGAGTCCGATTCGGCTCGATTCATCGGCATCGGCCAGGGCTGGCGAGAGCTTCTCGCGGCGATCCGATCCTGATCCGGTACGGAAGGACCCCTTGGCGATCCGCTCCGCTTCTGGCTCCATCCGATTTGGCGATGCGAGCTCCAGGACCCGTTTCCCTCAGGACCCGTTTCCGAAATGCCAACTTTGAATCAGTAGGGTCGCAAGCAGGAGCATCGCTGAAGTTCTGCCGTAGAGTCGCAGGCAAGAGGGCGCGCGCCGGGAGGTGTTGCTGGTGCTGTCGGACGGCGTGCCGACCACCTTCAGCCGCGCCCGCACCGCCCTCCACGAGCTGGAGCAGACGGGGGTACGCCCCGTGCTAGGCCGATTGGCGCCCCATCCTGCTTGCCTTTTGTCTCACCGCTCACCGAACCAACCCGTACCCCCCCCCCCAACCCGAAATTCGGGTCAAATTCGGGTCTTCGGGTTGGGTTGGAGTGGTCTTGTTAGTCATTGTCGTAAGCATGCGATGGGGGCGATACTCCGCTCGCAGTGTCAAACCTCCTCTTCCCTGCTCCTCCGCCTCCGCCGCTCAGGGGCAACGTTAGTCAGAGGAGGGCGAGTTGAGACAATGGTGGTTGGCCGTCGGTGGGGGTCCCTCGTCGCCACGGCTGGACGCGGTCTTGAAACATTTGTGCGTTTGGACTCTTGGAGGGTTCGGGGGACCGATGTCGAGCTTCCCTTGTCTCAACTCAGCCTGCTCCGAGTTGTTGGGGGACTATGTTAAGGAGAGATGCACGGGCATGATAGCCCACACCGCCCAGGAAGGTGCGGCTTTGCAACTGGGGGCCAAGCACGGATCTATCGACGATGTGTCGCCGATTCCAGCTCGACGTTTCCCCCCATGAGGCGCCCTCCCGCCGATCGTTGCTATCTCACACGCCGAGGAATCCTAGGTCGGCGAATGTGTTCGAAGCAGCTTCAATGGAACCATCGTCATTGGAGGTGGTGACCTCTGGTGGACGCAGATCGGGCCATTGCCATCTTGCTGATCTACTACGGTCGTTTACCATTTTATTGTGTCTGGCCAGTATACATCATATCCTCTTCCTCCTCCTCCTCCTCCTCCTCCTCCTCCTCCTCCTCCTCCTCCTCCTCCTCCTGGCACCTGTGCCACTGGGAACCCTCCCCAGGAAAACAGGCGGGTTGCCTCCCGATCGTCACCCCAGGCGCTCCTTCGGGACCCTGGATGAGAGAAAAAAGGTAGTCGTAGGCCGTCCCAGCCTGCGCCACGGGGGAAGCGTCGTGCCTGGGACCTTGGGGCTGTTCCCGACTCGCCCGTGCGGCGGGCGGGAAAGCCCAAGGTTCCAGTGCACGGCCTTTCCTTCCGTGTTCCCGTGCCTGGGTTGTGGGTTTATGTCAGGTTTTGCTGCGACACCCTTGCGGTGGCCCACCTGGTACTCCGCCAGGGCTCGGGCGCTGTCGCGGGTCCCCTGTGCAGGAGGGGCTCATTGGAGGATCCCCGCCCATTCCTCCCACGGTCACGGTTCCCTGCCGTGGCGTGCGTGGGGGCGGGTTGTCCCCGAGGGAGTGGTGCCCCTCGGGTGGCTCACTGGGGCGGCACGACCGAGAGCGGCGTGTCGCACGTGAGGCTTCGAAATCGTTAGAACGCTTTCAGCTGCGCTGCGTTATCCTCCTCCTCCTCCTCCCCCCTCTCCTCCTCGAGGGCCACATCGTGAAGGCAGGACACGATCATGCGTTTTGCTTTTGCGTGACACGGACCTCCGTGGACATCGACCCCCTCCCCAGGGAGGGCTTCTCATCCGGAGCCGTTCTTGAGTGTCCGGGGGCCGAGGTACGGCCTCCAGCGGCCGAGCGCGCACAAGCACTGGCTGTCGCGGTGTCTGTGCATGGCTCCCACTGCGGAGGGCAGATCCGTTGATTTGCGATCAGCAGGTCGACGAGGAGACCACGCGCAATGCCGAGTCTTCCTCTTCTTCTTCTTCTTCCTTTTCTTATCAATGTTGTCCTGCTTAGCTTCTTAGTATCATTATTATTATCCGTAAGGGCTTCGCCCCATGCTGCCGGCCCCCTGTCTGGGAGAATGGGAGATGCAAAAGCTAAATCATGAGGTCTGGGCGCCGCCGTGAAGCAGTGTCGGGACCTGTTTGTTTTTCGACCCTGACCCTACGGATCTGCCTCACGGGTGCCACCGAATTTCAGAAATGTGGCAAACCCCTTGTGTTTTTTGGACCCTGACCCTGCGGATCCGCGTGGGGGGTGCCGCAGAATGTCAGAAATGTGGCAAATCCCTTGTGTTTTTCGACCCTGACCTTACGGATCTGCTTCACGGGTGCCACCGGATTTCGGAAATGTGGCAACCCCCTTGTGTTTTTGGACCCTGACCCTACGGATCTGCGTGAGGGCTGCCGCCGAATTTCAGAAATTTGCAAATCCCTGATGTTTTTTGCCCATGACCCTGCCGATCTGCATGAGGGGCGCCGCCGGATTTTACAAATGTAGCAAATCCAATATGTTTTTAGACCCTGACCCCGCCGATCTGCGTGAGGGGTGCCACCGGATTTCAGAAATGTGGCAAATCCCATGTGCTTTTGGACCCTGACCCCGCCGATCTGCGTGAGGGGTGCCACCGAATTTCAGAAATGTGGCAAACCCCTTGTGTTTTTGCACCCCGACCCCGCCGACCTGCGTGAGGGGTGCCACCGAATTTTAGAAATGTGGCAAATCCCGTGTGTTTCTGGACCCTGACCCCGCCGATCTGCGTGAGGGGTGCCAGCAAATTTTTGAAAAGTGGCAAATCCCGTGTGTTTTTTGGACCCTGACCCCGCCGATCTGCGTGAGGGGTGCCACCGAATTTGAAGAATGTGGCAAATCTTGTTTTTGGACCCTGACCCCGCCGATCTGGGTGAGGGGTGTCAATTTGTATCCACCCCAGCAAGTCAGACAACACGCTCACGGCGTGGTAAAAATGCCCGTTTTGGGCCTCCCCCCCTCGCGCGGCCCATCAACAAGGAGCAGTAAGCAGCAAGAAGCAGAACTGTAACAGTGGAAACTGGAAGCTGCAACTGGTACAGGAAACTGCGAACCTTCGGCCTACAGCCTGTTGGCCCCACAAGGGGGCCGGCGGATTGTTTTTCTTCGTATATTTGTTATAACTCTTCTGCCGCTGCTGCGGGGGGGGTGGGGGGGGGCGCGCTGGCGATCTTGGGGTCCACGTTTTAAGTGGGGGGGCCAAGAGGCCGAGCCACTCTTGAGGACCCGCCGGCGGCGGCCTCCCGGGGAGGCCGAGCCACCCTGTGGAGGGCCCGCTGGCCCTCCAACAAGACAAGTGCACGGACACGCCCCAGCAGTTCGCTCCTGGGCCTCGGGGGAGGGTGGCGGTGCAGAGCCGGACCGCGGCACAAGGTCGAGGTGGGCTCGGGAAGGGCACCACAGTGTTCTTCGTGCTCGCTGACTGTTCTTGTGCATCCTGGGGAGGGTACGCGTGCATGTTCTGTGTGTTTTGGCCGGCGGAGGGTCTCATGTTCTCGAGGGGTGTTCTCTTGGCCTGGGTCCAACTGTGCACAGACACCCCCCAGTGGAATGTTCCTGGGCCTCCTGAGTGGGTGGCGGTGTACAAGTCGCCACTCAGAGCTAGCGACGTCTGTCAGCGCAACTCGCACGAAGGCGCAGGGAAAGCTCGTCGGCGGGTGCCTGTGTATGTAAATGTTTGTGTCGTAGCTGGCGGTCTCGGGGGCCATCTCAGAGGCGCGGACGGGGTGAGCAGTAGCTAGCACGCCGCGCGTCCCGCGGCCCGAAAAGGTCCCCAGCCCTCGGGAGGGCTCGTGGCACGCTCGGCGCGAAGCGGTCGACTTTAGCTTACGTGCTCTTAGCAGGCCGCCAGCCGGCCGAGTCTTCTCCTCCTCCTCCTTGGTTAGAGCAGGTGCTTCGATCCGTGGTCGAAGGCATCGAAGAGTGGGAAGAGTGTATCTCGTCGGCGACCAGTTTTTTGGACTGGTCCTCCCAGACCCAGCAGGGCGACGCAACACATGCACGCACAGTCTATTCCCCATGACCTTGGAGATCCGACGTCACGAATCAAAATGCAACATCGTAAGATATCATGCCCGGAGCCCTTCAGCCACACTTGTGTGCGGCATCTCTTGGGCCAGATCGATCCATGAGGGTCCCTGGGCCCGAAACAGGGCAGAGTCGGCTGGTGTAGTTAGGATGGTGTAGTTATTGGTCTAGATTCAGTCCCGTGGCCGATGTTCTCTCTCTCCGCCTCACCCTGCTCCTCCCTCCCCCTCGACCTCCTTGGTTTTCAAGTCAGGACTCGGCTCTCCTGCGTTCCGGGCACTGCAAGAACGCTCTCGGCGAGGCGCAGCCGCTGGAAGGCGTCCGAGGCTGGAAAAGTGCCGGAAAGCCTCGCCCTCGAACCCTCCCCCATCCCTTTCCTTACATCGGGGGTGGACAGAACCCCCAACAGTGAGTGACACGTCGATTAGTGAATTGTCCGTTTTCGGTTTTCGAGAGGGCGCCGTGGCCGTTATTTTCCAGGCTTGCGCCCGCCAGGTCTGGGCCTCAGGTCGTTTTCACTAAACCACGTTTTGCTGAAGGGGGGTCTGTCCATCCCCGATTACAAACGAGTCATTCGTCCCTGTCGCACCCCCAGACGTGTCGGTATGGCCGGCCAGGCGCTGCGCCCGAGAGTTCTTCGCCAGTTACGATCCTGAAGAGTTTGGAATCTGCAGCAGCTTCACGGACGGAGGGCGGGTGGTTTTCAAAAGGTGGCCCTCGCCTTAGCGCTTCGCGCCGCGCTCGTTCTCGTCGAAGTTGTGCAAGAGTTTCAAGGATTCGCGCGGTCGAAGTCCCAGGAATGGTGCCCGGGGCAAGATTCAGGACTGTGAGGACGCAACAATCATGGTGATTCACGGCGTTCAGTGTCCCAGGTATTGTGTTCTGGCGCAGTTTAGGATTGTCAGGACGCAAAAGTCACGTTGACTCGCAACGCCGGCTTCCCAGGAATTGTGTTCGCACCATTGGGGGTTCCCAGGCGATTGTATTCCAATAGGGGGTTTTCCCGCAACGAAGATACATGTTTGTAGGGCCTCAAGAAGAGGGAACTTGGAAGGAGGGCTTACTGCAACATCGCTGATGCGTCCTGCGTTCGCACTGGGTCCGCTGCTCCTCCTCCCGGGAGGCCTGGCCGACGGCTACCACGGCGACTCACGCCAGCGCGCGTGCCGGCTCGTGGGCGAGCCCTGCGCGGCGTACGTCGAGGCGCCACCGCCGCCGTCGGCGTCGCCGCTCCCCCCCCCCTTGGCGGCCTGCAGAATCCTCGGGGCTCGAGGATTCGAGGAGCAAGAGAGGGCACAGACCTCACCACCCACCAAACCATCCCAACCCAGCCCGAAGGCTCCGATTTGCCCTCCGTTTCCAGGTGGGGGTCGGGACACATCGAAAAAGCACATATGAAGCCCGTACCCCCCCCCAAACCGAAGTTCGGGTCTTCGGGTTGGGTTGGGGTGGCCTGGTAGGTAGTCAATGCCGAGCCTTGCGGAGCTCCCCGCGGAGTGCATGGATGGGCGTTGGGGCCCCCAGCTGGCGACGCCTCCAGCGCCCCCCTGCCGGGGAGGGGCGTCTTGCGCCGATGTAAAGAATTCCGCGCGGACCTCCGAAAGTTAATGTTTATGGTGCTTCCCTTTTGATGTATCAACGATGGATTCCGCAACATCCAGGCGACGCACCGAAATGACGACGGCTGCTTTGAGGACCCAGTTGGCCTCGGAAACGGCAGGGCCCTTCTTCACTGATTCCCAAAGTTTGCCTTTGGATCGTGAACAGAGTTTGCAGAAGCTGTTCACCGAAACGGAGAATGAACACGCCAGAAACGAAAGCGGAGCCAAAATGAGAATAATTACGCAGCCGGACCGGAACAAATACAGAGACGGAACCAGAACAAACAATTGCGACGGAACCGTCGCAAAATTCGGGGAAACGTAGAATCGGTCGAACAAATACCTTGCCGTCCCCAAGGCCCACTAGGCTCGAGGATGGATCCTTCAGATACAGGCGACGCAGCGGATTTCGCGACGGTCGGTTTGTGGAAGACATATGTGCCTCTGGAGGCCCAAGTCCCTGGTGCGTGAAGCACTTGCTCGGGGACGTGAAGCATTGCCCCGATACGCCCGTGTTGAAACGCAACCCGTGCTGTGATCAAGCGTCCATGGTAAACGTGCTGCCACATGGTCAAGCGTCCATGTTCCGCTCGTGGTCGCCTACGTTGTGCCGCATGCATCTGGCCAGTCTTGTGTTCTCGATCTACGGGCGGAGCTCCGTGTCAACGGGATGCGTTTTGCGCAGCAGGGCGGCGGAGATCCTCGAGGCTCGAGGATCGAGCCCGCAGACCCAGGCGCCGAACACAAATGGCGACGGCCGTGGTTTGTGCTCCTGGAGGCTCTTGCTGGGCCCCAGAGACGGGAAACCATCGGCTCGGGATGAAAAACCGGCTTTGGGGATGGAGTCAAGATCTCCAGGGACCTGTGCAACGGAAAAAATGCTCGGCACGAGCGAAGTGGGTACGGAATTAATGGTTACAATGCCCAATAGCAGTTCCTGTTCATTTTGAACAGGACTCGCTGTCGGTGTCACCGCGGCCTGTGCCTATTTGAGACAGAAGGCCGCCTGCCCAACAGCGGCCGCCGTTGGTTTGGGACAACATTTGTTGTTGGGCATTGTACCCATTCTTTCCGTACCCATTTCGGGCGTCCAAAAGTGCGGCGTCGAAGGTTCGAGGATCGAGGTTCAAGGGTTTAGGTCTTTGGGTGTGTTTTGTTCGGTTGCACAACCGGGAGGCTTTTCATGACCACAGCTGAAGTTCCTCCGAAATGATAGCCAGAATGCTCCCCCCAGGATGGGTGCGGGGGCCGATGTTTGAGGAGGGGGGCCCCGACCCAAAAAGATCTTGGAGGTGTTGCGCAGCTCGCGGCCCCGAAGGGACGGTTTCGGGCCCCATGGTAGGTGAACAGTTGGTCCCAGGCAGAGCCTCGGGCTTTCGGGGACCCCATGTCGACCAACGAATGATGACGTCGGAGGCATGGGATCGCGGCACTGGCTCCTGCGTGCGTGTGGGTGCGTTTCAGCGTCCCTCCCCCCGTCTTCTGAGGGGCCCGCCGCGGGCCTTGCTCGGGTGACTTCCTCCGCCTCGTCGCTGCGCGCGAGACCGCGGTCGCAAAAAAGTGTGTGTTTGGGTTTCTTCCAGACCCCTTTCGGGACCCTCGAGTAAAATATGCAGTGGCGCAAACTCTGGACGCTTCGCGCAACCCACCTGCAGCATCCCTCGGCAGCAGCTTCGGCAGCCGTGAGTGTGCTCGCTGGGTAATTAGGCTCCGCCCGTAGCCCGTGTCGACCTTTGACGCCGCCTGCGCCTTCGCTTGCGGCTGCGACAAAAAGTAACCCCACCTGTCCATCCAGAAACGATGCCCAGGCGAGTTGCCCTGATCAGGGATGTGGAGGAGCATGCACTAGAATAAAGGGCTCGGAAAGCGGCCGTAGTCCAAGAGTGGGAGGATTGAGGAGCAATCGGAGGAGAAGGAGGGGGAGGGGGAGGAGGGAGGAGGGAGGAGGGGAAGGATGAGGATAAACAAGCGGATGAGAGAGAGGAGGAGGAGGAGGAGGAGGAGGACGAGGAAGAGGAAGAGGCAGAGGAGGGCGAGCAGAAAGGCCAGAGGCATCTTGGATGTCTCGCGCAGTCTCTCCGGATGTCTCTTCAAGTTCCTTGCGGTCTTATTGGGGCGTTTTGGGGCCTTTTGGCGGTCCCAGGGTTGCCTTTTGGGGCGTCTTGGGCTCTCGTAGGAGCCGCTTGGGGACCTCTTGGGGCCTCTTGGGGGCCTCTTGGGGCCTCCTGGGCGCCTCTTGGGGCCGTCTTGGGGCACCCTTGGGAACCTCGAGGGCCATCTTGGGGCCGGTTGGGGGGAGATCGACCAAAGGAGAGGGGGTACTCCCTTGGGGTTCACCCCCTCAGAAGGCCAACGCAAATCCAACGCCAAAGTCGAATCAATGATTTGTGCCTGATCGCCGAGGCCGTCTTGGACGCTCCAACGCGTCGCGGGGCGCCCCGTCCAGGACCAGGTATGGGGGAGGGGTAAGCCCCTCCCCGAAGGGGAAGAAGAGGGGTTGGAAGAGGAAGCGCTCTAAGCCACTCGCGCCCTCAAGGGCTGGTGGGATTACACCATCTTGGATGCCACCTGGCAGCATCAGGGGTCATCTTGGAGCCTTAGTGTGCCAAAACATTCCCCGAAATGCAGAAGAAAAGCCAACGTCCTTCAAAACCCATGTGTATGTTTCAATGTTTTCGTTGATCAACGAGGGGGGGGCTTGATTGGGGTCCCTCCTCTGGAGCTCATTTTCCAACATGCTCAGCGCACGGTTTGCCCTCTAGGGGACCGCTCCGGCTACCGGAGCTGGCACGCAGACTTCCGTTCCGTTCTTGGGCCTTCTGAAGCCTTCTTGGAGCCATCTTGGGCCATCTTGGACGCTTCACCGCCTCGCGATCCCCCCTTTCCAGACCCAGGGGTAGGGGGTAGGGGGAGGGGTCAAGACTCCCTCCCCGCCCGCAAGCCGTCTCGCTCACTCCCACCCGCCATCCCAACACATACGTAGCACCCGAGCCTGGCCCGAGCCGCAGCATATTCAGAAGTCGTCTGTGGATGGGCAGCTACTGGGGCCGCCTCCGCTGCCGCCGCCGCCGCCTCCGCCGCCGCCGCCGCCGCTCGCCGCCGCCGCCGCCGCTGACCGCCGCCGCCGCCGCCGCGCCGCCCGCCGACGCCCGCGCCGCCGCCGCCGCGCCGCCCCCGCCGCCGCCGCCGCCGCCACCGCCGCCGTCGCCCCCGCTGCCGAATCGCCGCCGCCGCAGCCGCTGCCGCCGCAGCCGCTGCCGCCACCGCTGCCGCCGCCGCCGCCACCGCCGCAGCCGCCGCCGCCGCTGTCCCCGCCGCAGCCGCCGCAGCCGCCGCCGCCGCCGCCGCCGCCGCCAAGTGTACTCTGTATTGTTTTTTGATAGGGATGGTGGGGAGAGGCCGCATCGGGTTCGCTGCGCATGCTCCGAGTTTGGAGGCAGAGTGTGTTTTGTAATGTTTGTTTTTACAAGGGATGGTGGGGGGGGGCCCTCATTGTCCCTGGTTGGCTCCAAGTCGCCTGGGGGAGGGGGTGTATATGAATAGGGAACAGTGATCAAGACAACCTCCAGATAGCAAGCCGTCTAGCTCACTCCCACCCGCCCTCCCAACACATCAGTAATACCCGAGCCTCAGCATGTTCAACGGTCGTCTGTGGGCGGACAGCTACTGGGAACCAAAACCTAGCCCATGTTCGCGACGCTGGGGCGAGGTGCGCCACGCGTGCCAGGCGCGCCACGCGCGCGCCAGGCACCCCTGGGGCCCGAGCGTGCCAGGCACGACTGGCGCGCCAGATGGAGGGGTAAACCCCTCACCGAAGGAAACGGGGGACGATGGAAGTGGAAACGTTGCCAACCACTCACGCCCAGAAGGCTGGTGGGACTTATTTTTCCCCACCTGCCTCCCTCTGCCCTCCTCCTTGTTGGAGCAGTGCGAAGTGCGATGGTGTCTGTGTCTTCCCTCGCGCCTTCGATGGCTGGCTCTCGAAAGCCAGGACACGAAAATGTTGACGTCGCCCTGCTGTGTCCGCCGCCCTTCCCCCGGGCAAGCCCGCCAGTGGGCCTGGGCCGCCAATGGGGGACCCCCGCGGGGGGGGTACGCAGAGAGAGCGCTACGGAGTCGGCCGCCCTCACGCAGAGATCACACGTCGGAGGCCTGGGCCGCCTCGCGATCCGCCTGGTCCAGGTCGCGTTGTGTTCCAAGCTCTCTCCGCCTGCCCCTGCATTTTTTTAACGAGCGGCTGAGGACCGTGGCCAGATGCAGGAAAACGGCACGACAGGCGGACGAGCGACAAACGACGGATGACCGCGCCCGTGCGTTAGGCGGTTCGGGGCCCGAGTTTCTCCGATCGGTCGACAGCGATCTGAGAGAGTGCCCACTCGTGGTTGTTTCTCTTGAACACGGGGCAGAGTACGTTAACCTTAGGGTGGCAAGCGGTGACAAAAAACAGAAACTCCGAGGTCTGCGCGGATTTCTCGGATCAGCGCTAGACCCTCTTCCCAGGCGCACGGATCGCGCCGGGGGCGGCGCGGGAGGCGCTGCCAGGGGGGCCCAGCGCTGATCCCAGGAATCTGCGCAGACCTCAGAGTCTTTTTATGATTGTGTCATTGTTTGTTCCCCGTGCATGGGGTGCCCAAGTCGCTTGCCACTGCAGCCCAGTGCCAGCTTCAACGCGACGGGTCCGCTCCGAAGACGCCGACTAAAAAAGATTCTGGACATGGGGCAGTGCACATGACTGGTTCCACCCCGTTCATCATTCCACCTCTCCTCAAGGCTCGCTTGCGGCGACTGCCCTTTCTCGCGCTGCGCCCTGCATTGTCTGCGCCCTCTCCTTGCCGGCCTGTTGAATCCACCGCACGTCCGCCTCTACGCCCTCCGCCACTTCGGCTTCGTCGATCTTCTTCCATCTGCTCGTCCTCCTCGTCATTGTTCATGCTCCTCTCCTCGTCCTACCCCTCCCTCTCCTCCTTCACCCGCCCGTCTGATGCCCCTCCTCACGCTCCCCCTCCTCTTGCGCCTCCTCGTCCTCGTCTTCTTCTCGTCCATATCAATAATTTTCTCCGCCGCGTTCTCTTGCCCCCCGTCCTGTTGTGCCACCCTGCTTCCCCTTCCTCTCCTTTGTACTCCTCATGCTTCCATTCCTGCTCCATTCCGCCTCCCTGTCGTCATTCGCTCATCCTCTTCCGTTCGTCTATCCGTTCCTCATCCCTCGGTTCTCCGTCGTCCGTCCCCGCCCTTCACTTCGTTCTTGTCGTTACCCCTCCCCTGCTCATCCATCTCTTTCTCCCAAAACCAACGCTCGACGACGACAGTCTTCCCATGCTCCACCGACCCCGCTTCCACTCCATTCCGTTCCTCCTCGCTCATCTTCTCTTCTCATTCGTTCTCCTCCGCCTCCTTCAGCTTCTTCCTCTTCCTTGCATTTCCCTCCCTCCTCCGCTCATTCTCCTCCATCTCCTCCTCCTCCTCCTCCGTCTCCATGCCCCTCCTCCTTGGTCTTCTCTTCCCCCACGACCCTCGTGCTCCGCATCGGCGTCCTCCACCGCTTTTCATCGTCCTCCTCCTCCGCCTCATCCTGCTGGTGTCCCTCTCCGCCTCTATCCTACATTATTATCCGCCCCCCGCTCCTCCCGCTCGTCCTCCGCCTTCCTGTTCCCCCCCTCCATCGGTCCCCCCTTCCTCAAGCTGATCCTTCTTTCTTCGTCCATCGTCTTCTTGCATTAAGGCGAACATGTCACTCTACAGGAAGTTTCTCAACAAAGAATCACATTATTCAATAGTAGTCAGCAAACCAGTAATTATTATTGAACGTTCAAGTATATGCCAGAATAGTCAAACAGTGCCTCTCAACATCCGCCTGCAGGAGGACATGCCCTACCCAACGCTTGCACCTGGCCTCCCTGCTGCTGCTCATTCGGCGTAGTCGTCCCCCCCCCCTCCACTCTTGCTCGGCAGCCGCGTGCGCAGCACCGCGGCGGGGCCGACGACGCGCATCCGCCGCGTGCGCCCCGAGGAGCAAACGCACCTAGTTCGGGTGTTTTGCTGAATGGGGTGTCTGTCCACCCCCGACACGCAGGAGATTTGGTCTGTGCCGCTTGTGGTTCCTCGGGGATCTCGGCCTCGGCCTGTCACTTAGCTTTTGACGGCCCCGCTGGACGCGGGCGAGCCCCCTCCCGACGCGAGCCCTGCGCTTCCCCGCTGCTCCCCAATGTGCCGAGCCCGTGCGCCCGAGCATGCAGGCGGTCAGCGGGTGGTCCTACATGGCCTCGGACCCGCGCAGGCGCCGCTGGATGAGGAGGAAGGGAGGAGGGGGGAGGAGGAGGAGGAGGAGGAGGAGGAGGAGGAGGAGGAGGAGGAGGAGGAGGAGGAGGAGGAGGAGGAGGAGGAGGAGGAGGAGGAGGAGGGAGGAGGAGGAGGAGGAGAGGAGGAGGAGGAGGAGGAGGAGGAGGAGGAGGAGGAGGAGGAGGAGGAGGAGGAGGAGGAGGAGGACAACGACAACAATCCTTTTCGTACTCTTCTCTCAGCTCGCGTGCCACTCAACGTCTATACCCAGAGCTCTCGATGCCCGCCCTCTTCGAGTTCGATCTTACCCCCTTTGCATATCTTCATTGACTGCCACGCGTAGTTGGCGCAGCCTTGTACATACGGGAAGGGAGGGAGGAGGGAAGGGACAAGAGGGAAAGAGAAGGATGGAGCACGAGAGAAATTAGCAGGAGGGGGATAAGGAGTAGGGCAACAAGCGGCATAACCACCCTGCTGGGTGCGGCGGACGGAACCTAATTGGTGGTTCGGGCGGGCGGGCCCTGATGGCCGGGTCGAGCGCGCGGGTCGCTGAAGCGTCAGTTTTGCATGTATCGCGTGGACACCTGAAGCAGTAGCGCGATTTCCAAATAAATTGTGAGGAGGTCCAGAGCGAGACCTTGATTCCTGAGTGTCGTCGGTCCGGGGTTTCAGCAAATTGCGAGAAGTACCACGCGAGAGCGAAATTCATGCAAACATCGTAAGGAACTCCTGCGCGAGAGTGCGATTTTGAAAAAACTGTGAGGATGTATCAGGCGGGAGCCTGCGTCGTTGTAAACCAGAGGCCAGCAATACAATCTGAGACTCACGGATGTACCACGCGAGGGCGAGATGTTTGCATAAAGTGTAAGGGATTCCAGCGAGAGCGCGCGAGTATGAATAAATTGTGAGGAAGCACCAGGCGGGAGCCTATGTTGTTGTAAACCGGAGACCAGCAACACCATCTGAGGCTCCCGACCTTCCCCTGTCACAAACAGGGCGCACACCCCGGGAGGGGCACTTCAAGTGAAAGACCACACTGGCTATCAGAATGGGGTGATCAACAAGAATTTTGCTTTTGAAACGAGAATTCAACCGTCGTTTAAATTTGGTTCGCTCTAAGCAGCTCGCGTGCCTTTCAATACGTATATCCGAGACCCTCGATACCCCGACTTCGATCGTACCCTCCCTGGGGATATGCCTCCCTTGCCGGCCACGTGCGGTTGGCGCAGCCCCTGACAGAGGGGAGTGGGGGGGGGCAGAGAGAGAGAGGGACCGGAGGGATGGAGCAGCATGGAGCACGAGAGAGATCAGCGATGGGGGCTGCGATCCGGAAGCAAAGCGGCAGTACCGCGCGGGCGGCCTCTGGCGGTCGGGCCCTGTCGGGCGGGGCGGGCGGGCGGGCCCCGACGGCCGGGTCGAGCGCGCGGGTCGCGGAAGGGAGGGGGGGGGCTTCCGAGCGGGGAGACCAAGCGGCAGAGGCGTGCGGGCGGGACGGGCGGGCGGACCCTAACGGGCGGGTCGGGCGTGCGGGCCGAAGCGGTGGGGTCGTGCGGACGGGTCGGTGGAGCGTCAGTTTTGTGAGGGAGTCCATGGCGAGAATGTGACCCACGAGTGCGAGTGTTATATGCGCGGCGTTTCAATAAACTGCTCGGAAAGACCACGCGAGGGCGCGATCCGTGAGAAAGTGTAAGCCATTCCTGCGCGAGGGCGCGATTTTGAATACATTGGCAGGAGGTGTCAGGGCGGGAACCGTTGTTGTTGTAGTTCGGGGGACGAGGAGGCCAATCTGAAGGACAAGAACTTGTTTTGTAACAAAAAGCACGCTGCGAGCACCAGAAAAAAAAACACTTGAAGCGAAAACCATCAGGTGCACCAGATGAATGAAATCAGCACCACCATCTGTTATTGAGAATTCCGTATGTGAGGAAGCGTGGGCCCCAAACAGTGGATCTCTAGCAATTTACGTTGCGCAATATACGTGGTGCAGTTCACTTGGTGCAACCAGTGTGGTGCAACGTATGTTTTCGAATATATGTAGTGGACTGTACGCTGTGCAATACATGTTGCGCGCTTCATGTGATGCAAGCCATGCGGTCCAATATATGTTGTACAAACTTTATGGTGCACTCTTAGTGTGCTAGCTATGTGGGGCACTCCTAGTGGTGCATTCCATGTGGTACAACCTACATGGTGCAATATATGCTGTGCACCCTATGTGGTGCAATCTTCGCTGCGCGGTCATCTGATGCAGTCTAAGGTGGCTATGTTGTAGAAATTATGTGGTGCAGTTTATGTTGTGCACGCGAGTACATCTATGTTGTAGAAACTGTGTGGTGCAGTCTAAGTGACCGATGTGGTGCAATATATGTTGTGCGCTGTATGTGGAACAAGATATGTGTTACAGCTTTTGCGGTGTAGTAGATGATGTACGCTCTATTTGGTACAATCTACGTTGAGCAATCCACGTGGTGCAATCCATGCGCTGCTATCTATTTTCTGTTGTCTGCGTGGTGCAATGTATGTGGTGCAATTGACTACCCTGCACCGCGCTTGACCACTCCACTGCTCGCGCAAACATCCCACCCACCCACCCGCAACTTGGTTCGCAAAATCTCTTAAGACCGTGACGGTGGGTACCAAATGGCACTTGCCAACGACAGCGACGCCGACGACGACAGCGAAAACGACGACGACGACGCCGCCGACAACGACTACGACGACACCGACAACGTCTCCAACGACTTTGACGACGCCGACAACGACGACGACGACGACGACGACGACACCGACGACGACGACGCCGACGCCGACGACGACGATGACAACGACGACGACGATGACGCCGACGACGACGAAAACGACGACGCCGACGACGACGACGACGTCAACGACGCCGACGACGACGACGACGACGACGGCGGCGACGACGACGACGACGCCGACAACGACGACGAAGACGACGACGACGCCGACGCCGACGACGACGACGAAGACGACGACGACGTCGCCAACGAAGGCGACGACGAGGGAGGAGGGAGGACGACGACGGCGACAACGACGACAACGACGACAACGACGAGGGAGGAGGGAGGACGGCGACGACGCGAACGACGAAAAGGAGGAAGGACGGCGACGCCGACGACGGCAACGACGAGGGAGGAGGGAGACGACGACGACGACGACGACGACGACGACGACGACGGCGACGAAATAGGAGGGACGACGACGAGACGCTGACGACGGACGACGACGACGACGAGGGAGGAGGAGGAAGGACGACCACGGCGAACAACGACGACGGAAACGACCACGACGCCAAAGAGGACGACGACGATGAACACGAGGAAAGACAGAGGACGACGTAGGCGACGACGACGACGACAACGACGCGGGAGGAGGCAGGACGGCGACGACGACGACGACGCAAGAGCGCGCGCGCACGCTTTTGTTGAAAATCCGTGTTGCGAAACCTTGGGTTTTTGTAGGTTTTTTGGACGCGCGATTTCGAAATCCTTCCGAAACCGATGGGTTTTGAAGGATTTCGGCGTACGCGCGCGACCAAGCGCGCGTCTGCACTTCCTCTCATTTTTTTGCACAGGATTCTCGCGACGGCACACGCGCAAGGGCGTTCGACAGATTTCGACATGCGCGCTCGTGAAGCCCGTTTGGTAGCATTTTGTGAAAATCTTGAAAAAAAAACTATGGTTTTCTTAAGATTTCGCAAGAGCTCGCGCGGAAGTGTTTTTAGCAAACCAGTGTTGCGAAATCATGTGTTTTTGTAGGTTGTTTGGAAACTCGATTGCGAAATCCTTCGGGGCACCGAAGGTTTTTGAAGGATTTCGGCATGCGCGCTCGACGACGCGCGCGTGTGCACTTCGTTTCATTTTTCGCAAGGGATTCGTGAACAAGTGCTATGTTAGAACAAAAAATGCCACCGCATAGTGTTTTTTTACAAGGGAACCTCAGGGGGGGGAAACCGGCCTGCCTGGGATGGTATGATTTTTTATTTAGGATGGACGAGTGTGCAGAATATTTATATATATATATATATGTGTGAAATTATATTATCCCATGGGGAACCGTTAAGTCGGGGGGGGGTAGAGTCTATTCTCTTTTTAGAAAGGAGAATATATGCGGTGTAATCGTTGTGATGCAATCTACGCGGTGCAGTCTTACACGCGCTGCAATCTATGTTGTGCAAATCATGGTTGCTCACGATGAGTATGTCAGCTTCATTTCTCGCGCAATCATCCCACCCACCCACCCGCAACTTGGTTTGAAGAACCCATGCGGCGGCGATTGCGATGACTGCTTGGCGCGGGCCGGTGCATCGCTGTCGCTGCGCTAGCGCGCCAGGCTAGAGTGCAGAGAGGCCAGCTATATTGGCGCGATCTACGCGGCCGCGGTGGCGCTGCCCGTCGGTAACTGCAGACGCTGATGATAGTAGCGAGGCTGGTGACCATGATGACGATGACGACGGCAAGGCCAATGACCGCGCCGATGCTGCTGATCGCGCTTGTGACGATGATGCTGTCCACGTGTCGGTGATGAAGGTTTTGGAAGGATTTCGAAACGCGCGCGCGTCCGACAGGCGCGAGTGGCCCGCATGGCAGTATTGATTGGGATCGTGTTTCCCCCAGCACGCGCGAGGGAGGAGTTCGAATGATTTCGACATGCGCGCGCGAGGGGCCCCTTCGGTCGCATTAGGTGCAAATTTTGGAAGCACACTGTTCCTTCAGAATTCGCAAGAGCGCGCGCAAACCTATTTATTATCCAGTTGAAAATTCACTCGGCAAGTCAATATGCTGATACATGAAACGTATGTACATGTATATATATATATGTGTGTATGTGTGTGCGTGTGCGTGTGCGCGTGCGTGTGTGTGTGTGTTTGTGTGTGTGTGCGTGTGTGTGTGTGTGTGTGCGTGGGTGTGTGTGTGTGTGTGTGTGTGTGTGTGTGTGTGTGTGCGTGCGTGCGTGCGTGCGTGCGTGCGTGCG